ATTTTTAAAAAATATTTTAAAGGTCCTTACACAAGGCGTGGATTTTTTAAAAATACTTTAAAGGTCATTAGAGAAGGTGTGGATTTTTTAAAATCACTTTTAAGGTCCTTACACAAGGCGTGGATTTTTTAAAAATACTTTAAAGGTCATTAGAGAAGGTGTGGATTTTTTAAAATCACTTTTAAGGTCCTTAGAGAAGGCGTGGATTTTTTAAAAATACTTTAAAGGTCATTAGAGAAGGTGTGGATTTTTTTAAAATCTTAGAGAAGGCGTGGATTTTTTAAAAATACTTTAAAGGTCATTAGAGAAGGTGTGGATTTTTTAAAATCACTTTTAAGGTCCTTAGAGAAGGCGTGGATTTTTTAAAAATATTCTTTAAGGTCCGGATGATAGATACCAAGCAACGGCTCTGATTGGCTTTATTGCGTTTTGTTGAAATTGGCACAGGTTATGGCTACACCTGTGCTTACATTTGTATATCGAACGGGTGTCTGATTGAAATTAAATTTTGAACAGTGCGGCGTACCAAATAGCATGTATAAATTTTGCTATAAATTGTTTTTCATAAATTTGTCCCATGGTACGCAGACGACTCTAAATCTGCCCTAATGAAATTAAATTTATCGTAGGTTGCAGAAAGACATGAGTATGTTCCTTCGAGGGAATATTGACATGCAGGGGTGAAGGATATCATATAGTCGGCCTAGTCCGACTTTACTACTTTCTTTTTTTCAACAGAGAAAAAAATTAATATCTTATCTTCAATCTATAGAAACCCTATCGTATAGGTGTACAATACCTCACTAAACATCGTTTGTCCATAACTGAAATATAAATGAGTCTTCTGTCCTTAGAGAAATTGTGGGTCATTCAATTACATATAGAAACTTTGCTAATAATTAATCTAAAGATGGCTGAAGACTTTCCTACATATAAAAGAACATCTACTGTTCCTTTTTCCAAAATCATCAAACCTCCTGAATAAATTGTATGTATGTGTGAGTGTTTTTTTTTTTTTTAACCAATTTCATGTGTTTACAATGAAAATTCACTTAAGCATTTCATTTTGTTTAACACCCAAAAACTCTGGATGTAAAGACAGAAGAAAATTCTTATTTTTCTTCAACGCGACATGTAATGCAGCAGTTCCTTTTTCCCTTCGTTTTGAATGCATTTAAAGTCAATGTAAATGACGCGCCCTGTCGCCTTGTATTGATCGGACCATCAGACTAGATGGGAAACGTCATAAATACACGAAGGATTAAGTTGAGTGACAACTGTCATTCGTGTGTAACGAAATTATGAAAAATTTGTAATAAATTTAAAAGTTTTAATAATGCAGAACAATTTTGTGTGTGTGTTTTTTTAAGATCTTCAGATACACTTAACCAACTAAAAACTGTGTTGTTTCCTTCATTTTGAAGACATTCATATTTTTTGGATTTTTGTTTTATAATCATACAGAATTTTGATGTTGTTGCATTTAATGTATTTATTTATGAAACCCAAAATGCATCCTCATATTTTAATGGATGCCTCTGTATATTATTTATTTGCCGAATTATGTTGTTGTTCTTTTTTATAAATTATGTCAATTGTGGTGGGCTACCATAACGCCACCAAATAAATATTGTCGTTTCTTGTTTATTTGCCAACAAATTTTGGAATCTAAATTAACCAAAAATTTTATGGTCATACTTATTCTAATGGGAATGTTTTTTTAAGCTAATTTTATGTATGTATGTATGTTTATTAATAATATCCTTCAAATTCATTCATGCCGTAATTGTCGTCAAAACTGAATTCCATCTGACAATGTTTGGAAATAAAAATTTGATAGTACAGAAAACGTTCCATCATAGATACTAGCCAGTTGTTTCTACAGATAGGCGTGGATTTTTACACCCTACACAACTATGTTGTCAGGGCTGCTTTGTGCAGCCCCAAGAGTTTGTAACGCCGCGAAATATTGGTCCTAGACCCACCTTTAAGTATACCGATCGTCATATCTCGTCTAGCTCAGTCGATCTAGACATGTGTGTCCGTCCGTCCGTCCATTATAATTTGTAAACACGATACAGGCTACAGTTATGGACCAATCTTCACAAAATTTTGCATGTTGTATGGTTTCGGGCCAAAGAAGACTCCTATTTGGTAAATATCGGTTAATATTTAGGGGTTGAAATGGGCCAAAAACTTTAATTTTATCATCGCAAATTTTTACATGGAGAAGCGGGTCAAATGGACCCTGACTTTTGTGTGAAAAAGGGAATCTGAACAAGTAATTAGAAGGGCTGTGCTGAATATTAGTAATATTTGTTGACCTCTGGTCGATCAAGAAGATGCAAATATCGCAAAATATTGCCCAAGCTCAGAATATAGAACTACAGAAAGTTATATTTTCGTGGAAGTTGTGTACGGTATCATATGGTCGGCCCCGTTTGATTATACTGCTCCGCTCACTGGTTTAAAAATATTTTTTCAGGACCTTCAATAGGCGTGGATTTTTTAAAAATATTTTTTCAGGGCCTTCGATATTTTTTTTGGGCTTTCAACAGACGTGGATTTAAGCCCTGGCTTTTTTAATATATTTTTTCAGGGCCTTCAACAGGCGTGGATTTAAGCCCGGGTTTTTTTAATATATTATTTTAGGACCTTCAATAGGCGTGGATTTCAGGCCTGGTTTTTTTAATATATTATTTTAGGACCTTCAACAGGCGTGGATTTAAGGCTTGGATTTTTTAATATATTATTTTAGGACCTTCAAAAGGCCTGAATTTCTTTCAAATATTTTTAAGGCCATCAACAGGCGTTGATTTAAGGGCCTTCAACAGGCGTTGATTTAAGGCCTGTTTTTTAATATATTATTTTAGGACCTTAGGCTCTTTTCCTATTACAATAAATAATTTACCTTGTGTAATTTATGGTGGCGGCGACAGAGGCCTGTTAAAACCCTGAATTGCTTTCAAATATTTTTTTAGAGCCTTCAATAGGCGTAGATTTTTTGAAAAAAATTTCATTGCCTTTAATAAAAGGGCTCTATAGAGGCGTAGATTTTTTGAAAATATTTTTTTAGCGCCTTTAATAAGAGGAAGACGCGTAAAATTTTGGATTTTTCTAAAACAAGGACTTCAATAGGCGTGGATTTGTCTACAACATTTTTAAGGACTTCAATAGGCGTGGACCTTCAAAAGGTCTGGATTTCTTTCAAATATTTTAAGGGTCATCAATAGGCGTATTTTTTAAATATTTTTTTTCAGGAACTTTAATAGGCGTGGATTTAAAAAAAAAATAATCAGGACCTTCAATACGCGTGGGTTTATTTTAAAATATTTTTTCAGGACCTTTAATAAAAGTATCTTTAAGAAGGCGTGGATTTATATAAAAATATTTTTTCAGGGCCTTTAATAAGAGGACCTTCAAGAAGGCTTGGATTTATTTAAAAATATTTTTTAGGGCCTTTAATAAGAGGACCTTCAAGAACGCGTGGATTTATTTAAAAATCTTTTTTTCAGGGCCTTTAATAAGAGGACCTTCAAGAAGGCGTGGATTTATTTGAAAATATTTCTTCAGGGCCTTTAATAAGAGGACCTTCAAGAAGACGTGGATTTATTTAAAAATATTTTTTCAGGGCCTTTAATAAGAGGACCTTCAAGAAGGCGTGGATTTATTTAAAAATATTTTTTTCAGGACCTTTAATAAGAGAATTTTTAAGAAGGCGTGGATTTATTTGAAAATATTTCTTCAGGGCCTTTAATAAGAGGACCTTTAAGAAGACGTGGATTTATTTAAAAATATTTTTTCAGGGCCTTTAATAAGAGGACCTTCAAGAAGGCGTGAATTTATTTAAAAATATTTTTTTCAGGACCTTTAATAAGAGAATTTTTAAGAAGGCGTGGATTTATTTAAAAGTATTTTTTTCAGGACCTTTAATAAGAGGATTTTTAAGAAGGCGTGGATTTATTTACAAATATTTTTTTCAGGACCTTTAATAAGAGGATTTTTAAGAAGGCGTGGATTTATTTAAAAATATTTTTTCAGAACCTTTAATAAGAGGATATTTAAGAAGGCGTGGATTTATTTAAAAATATTTTTTTCAGGACCTTTAATAAGAGAATTTTTAAGAAGGCGTGGATTTATTTAAAAAATATTTTTTTCAGAACCTTTAATAAGAGGATATTTAAGAAGGCGTGGATTTATTTAAAAAATATTTTTTTCAGAACCTTTAATAAGAGGATATTTAAGAAGGCGTGGATTTATTTAAAAAATATTTTTTTCAGAACCTTTAATAAGAGGATATTTAAGAAGGCGTGGATTTATTTAAAAAAATATTTTTTTCAGAACCTTTAATAAGAGGATATTTAAGAAGGCGTGGATTTATTTAAAAAATATTTTTTTCAGAACCTTTAATAAGAGGATATTTAAGAAGGCGTGGATTTATTTAAAAAATATTTTTTTCAGAACCTTTAATAAGAGGATATTTAAGAAGGCGTGGATTTATTTAAAAAATATTTTTTTCAGAACCTTTAATAAGAGGATATTTAAGAAGGCGTGGATTTATTTAAAAAATATTTTTTTCAGAACCTTTAATAAGAGGATATTTAAGAAGGCGTGGATTTATTTTAAAAATATTTTATGGACCTTTAAATGACCTAACAATTTTTTTTTTTTTTTTTTTTTTGAAATCAAGGACTTTGGATCTGTGGATATTTTAAAAACATATTTTAAAGTACCTTACAAAAGTTTGTTTGTAAGGCCCTTTTGAAATCAAGGACGTTGCAAAAGGAGTAGATTTTTATAGTTAAATAATTTATTTTCTTTACATTTTTTTTTCATTGGTGATACTTAAAAGTTGAACTTTTTATTCATTTAATTTTACCTATGTTCTTAGAAGATCTACATTTTTTTGTATTTATGTTTGTTTCTTTTTACAAAAAATCACTCAAGGTTTCGAGTGAATTTCATCCATCACACATACACGCACTCACTCTTTCAACACTTAATTCAGCTCATTCATTTATACAACATTGTATGAAATGATCGAGGGGGTACATTAACAATGGTGGTGCCACGAATGCCATCATTTAGGCTAATATCCTGGGGAATTGATGCACTGAAATGAAAAAACAAGAAGAAGATGAAATTATATTACATTAATCCAATGTACATAAATTTGTATACACATATGTATGTATATACTGTGATGTAAGTGCATTTGAAACATTGTTGTCGGTTAATGTATCCGACATAACAGATGCACTCACATTGATTACTCTCAAGTGTATCGCAGCCGGAAAGTGAAAAACATAAAACTATTAATGACAAAAACAACAACAACAGCTATTTTGTTGAGATTTAAGGCGAAATGTCACCGCTGACAGGCCGTCACAGACTGATTTAACGAGGGCGGATGGATGAGGAAGGTTGAAGGAAATATTTAATAAAATAATATTTAAGGTGCTTAGAGAAGGCGTGGATTTTTTTTAAAAATACGGTAAATGTCCTTATAGAAGGTGTGGATTTTTTAAATATATATTTAAGGTCCTTAGAGAAGGCGTGGATTTTTGAAAACTATTTTTAAGGTCCTTACACAAGACGTAAGGTTAAGGTCCTTACAAAAAAATCCACGCCTTGTTTAAGGTCCTTACAAAAAATTAAAAAAATCCACACCTTGTTTAAGGTCCTTACGAAAAAATTAAAAAAAAAATACACGCCTTGTTTAAGGTCCTTACAAAAAATTAAAAAACCCACGCCTATTGAAGTTCCCTCAAAATATAATTTAAAAAAAATCCACGTCTTCTCTATTTTCCATTCCTTTGCCTTGCATACCAACCCCCCTGCTGGCATTCCGGCTGACACTCATCGCCATAAATTTCAACATTATTATTACTTGTTCTCAAGTGGTGTTTAATATTCCTAAACTATGTCGATGAAAATAAGGAGGAGACATCATATCCAAAATATTACAATTTTAAGAGACAGGGTCATAAATTTTCCGATACTTATGAAGCAGAAGCGTCACAAGAAACGACTCAATTAAATACTAAAACGTTTCAAGTATCATCGGCAGCTACTATATATCGGCTAAGATATTCATTCATAAATATCCGCAGAAATACAATTGTGAGTAAGGACGCGTGCCAAGAGTATCACTTTCCCTCCCTTCTTGATTTACAACAATATCCCCACTTACACTTACCCATTAAATATGACAACAACAATTACACCATCCATGCGTTGAAATGCCACAGCATCTATGGACTGTTGCAGACTAGACACTTTCACATCGATCCGCACCGAATCGGGCCATATGAATTTCGAGAAATGACCAATGCCATAATACATGGGTTGTTTATAGAATTCGGAAAAATCTGGAAAAATAAAATATAGAATAAAATGGACAATTGAATGAATTCCGCTACTTACTGGTGGTATTCACGACAATGGGTGCATCAACAAAATTGTTAACATAATTTGGACCTCCCTTTTCATCCAGCAGCAAATTCCAATCTATCCAGCCATGGAAGTTATGCTGTAAATCCTGCAGAAATGCTTTAATATATTGTTCACCACGCTCCCAGGAACCCAACACCGGGCCATGGGTTTGCCATGGTTTATCTCCCACACATGATTCGGTATTGAATAGAAGTTTGCCGGGCAAGGTTTTCATCGTTTTGTCAATAAGTTCAGGACCAAACACATCGTCCCAATACCAATGTACCGCCAGACCATCCAAATATTTCAACGATCCAGGCATGCTAACATTCATCTGAATTGAAATAAAAAGCAAAAAATAATTTAAAAAATTCCAATATTTTCGGGTCCACTTCCTCCACCCATGTTAGCCATACAACTAGGTTAATAGGTTATTTTCCAAATCAATGATCACCCACAATTTTATGAAAATTGTCATTAATAATGAGAACAAAAAATACAACAACAACTACAAATTTTTTAAAGGACCATCAAATACACAAACTAAGTGTATACGTGGGATTTTTTGTTTTAAAGGACCTTAAACAAGGCGTGGATTTTTTAAAGGACAAGGCGTGGATTTTTTAAAGGACCTTAAACAAGGCGTGGATTTTTTAAAGGACCTTAAACAAGGCGTGGATTTTTTAAAGGACCTTAAACAAGGCGTGGATTTTTTAAAGGACCTTAAACAAGGCGTCGATTGTTTTAGAGGACCTTAAACAAGGCGTCGATTGTTTTAAAGGACCTTAAACAAGGCGTGGATTTTTTAAAGGACCTTAAACAAGGCGTGGATTTTTTAAAGGACCTTAAACAAGGTGTGGATTTTTTAAAGGACCTTAAACAAGGCGTGGATTTTTTAAAGGACCTTAAACAAGGCGTGGATTTTTTAAAGGACCTTAAACAAGGCGTGGATTTTTTAAAGGACCTTAAACAAGGCGTGGATTTTTTAAAGGACCTTAAACAAGGCGTGGATTTTTTAAAGGACCTTAAACAAGGCGTGGATTTTTTAAAGGACCTTAAACAAGGCGTGGACATTTTTTAAAGGACCTTAAACAAGGCCAGATCAGAAAAAGTATTTCTAGGAACCAACAACATAATCAGGACATGGACATTCAAATTGTTGTTCATTAAAAATTAAATATTTTTTCCATCCCCTTACCTAAGATGATACAGGGCCCATGTTTCATAGTATATCGAGTTCAAATGACTATAACCAGTCCAATTATTATTTGTTTTCATCCATAGCGGTGGACTCCATGCGGCTGCCATAATTTTTAAATCGTCGACTGAGGCAACCTCTTTTAGTCTCTTAATTTGTTCTACTTTCAAAAGGTCACGCATATCAAGTTGTGTAAAATTACTTAGCTTTGGATCATTTTGAGGTATTTCATTATAGGCCCAGGGTTCCAGATCAAAATCACAACCACCAATTGATGTTCTCAACATATTGTAACCAATGCCGTCTTTGTGGTAATATGACCTGAAAATAAAACACATTTTTTCTAATTGGAAATTGTATTCTAATTGGAAGCTATTCTTGTTGCTTCTACTTACTTGTATAGATGATCCTGCAATTCAGGATTCATTTGGTCCAGCAAATGGGCAACAGTACCTGTTAAGGCGCCACCAAATCCAACGATTTGTTGATATGTTTTATTTCGATTAATCGTTATCGATGCAGAGGACTTTTGTGTTCGAACGGGTAATGAAAATACTGGAAAACAAGATGAAACAACAAATAAGTGAAATGAAAAATCTGTGCTTCAAATTGTTTATTTTAAAACAGGGGCCACACTTTTGTATTAGATCAACAGATCTGTGGGCAATTCAACTCCGTCTCTACAAGCCTGCACTATATGCATAGCCTGCCTTTCATAAGCCATAGCCATCATCCGCATAAGCACATACCATGAAGAAGGATCATCATCATCAAGTCTCTGTGGGCAAACACGCTGCTCCAGACCGACTCACTGCATCCACAACACCTTATAATCCTTGAAATAAATAACCCAAATCGAAATTTCTCTGCACCCGATCTTTGACAACCTTGTGAGCACGCGACCCCTTTGAAGGAAGTCAAGTGTGCCTTGTAAATCCACAAATATAGCACGGACATATATGACATTTGACCCGCTCTGGCTGTATTGTGCATGCCCCACCCGTCCGCGGTATCTATATTCTTGGTATAAACGAGCTGATGTATAAACGTACAGCCACTACATCATTCCCTAAGCATGCTCCGATAAAAACAAGCAGGCGACATATGCAATACATCAACATAGGCATATTTCCATTCACTTCGATGAAGTAGTCCTAACTAATGAAACTACTGAAAACGGACTCGCTATATTTCGTCATGACCTTTTAGACAACTTTAAACACCCATCAATACCTGGCGATTTTCTACTTCTAATGTCCTTCTATACGATCCAAACCCTGAGGCTCCCACCATTACAATTCCACGACGGCCGGTTCTATGCACCGAATTGACTCGGAGGAATCAAGTTCCGACCGAGGGCTGTCAACCCAGCAAATACAACAACAGCATCCACCACTGATCTATCTCGGTGAGATGCAACGGATGCGGAGAATGGGTTCATTTCAGGAGTTGTTCCGACCTTAGACGGATACAGGAGTACAGCGAAAGGTTGCTTCATGCTCGCGGTCCACGTCATCGTCGCAATCTGCGCCGCAGCCGCTAACACCGCTAACATACTAAACGAGATAGTAGATTTTATGAGTCGAAGAAGTATTATGGTCGCGGCGATCCAGGAAATGAAGCTGAACAACATCTGCAGTCTTCAGAGTTATGATGAATACAACGTAATTAGAAAGGATCGTACGAGAGGTGGAGGATTAGCCTTCCTATTGCACCATTCTGCCCAGTACAGACCTATCTCGTTTGAGCTAGACTCTAGTGGCCCATACATGGAAACGGTCAAGTGTGGTACCGCCGAGGTAGAGGTACTTAACGTTTACATTCCGCCGTTGAATAGCTGTCAGCGTTATGATGAATACATCTTTTGGAAGGCAATAAACGAGAGGTGGAGGATTAGCCATGAGTTATGGCATTCCGTCCTGGGTAATGACCAGAGGGGCATGGCGCTGACCGAGCAAATTGATAGCTCAACGTTTTGCACGGTGAACGAGGACGTACTAACACCAGAAACAGAGAAGTGGCGTTGAAGGTGAACAGGTTAGTCGGCGAGCACAAGCGGAAAACGTGGCTAGAACATCTGAAGTATTGCAACATCAGTACCGGAGTAAGTAAATTGTGGACAACGGTTAAGTCGCTCTCGAACCATGGAAGAAAGGATGATTTGTCTGAAGAGGTGCGCCTGTTGTTTCAAGCGGCAGTTTATAAAGGAGTAGCTAAGACACATGAGGCTTTACTACTCCCTAACATTCGTGAATGCTACTTAGTTGCTGGTCATCAACATACCTACTTGTTATAGCCATCCAAATGGTTACCTAATGGATGATCTGGAGAGAGAGGTCCAAAGGTACAAAAGGGAGCCTCTAGATCAACAGACCTATCAAGGTGGATTGAATCGTATTCACACGGATGCAGTTCAGGAAGCAATTCGAGAATATCGTGTGAATACAATCCTCGGTGATCACCCGCCTACGATAGCAGCAGAATAACAGCAGCTACCTCGACAAACTAGAGTGGTCTTGGCACAATTAAGATCAGGATGGTTTAGCCGCCTCAATTCATGTTGGGCACGAATTGACGGAGAAGTCCATAATAACTGTCCGACATGTGGTTATGGACCACATGGCACGCTATACCAATTCAAGTGCCCAGTTGATCACCGAGGATTGTATTCGCCCACTCACCTCACCCCATCTTCACTTTGGACACAAGCGATACAGGTCGCAGCTTTCCTGAATTTAGAGTAAGAAGCAGAACCAGATTAAGGTGATTAAGAAAAAATACCGAGGAGTATAAGCTACTACAACAACAACAACTGGGGCTCCGAATTCGAAAATAAAGGTCCTAATGTTTCAACTTTACCCCAAAGGTAGTTTTCGTAGCTGGTACGCAACCCCTGACGTTTATAACCACAATTCCGGAACACGTAGTATCTAACACCCCAGGACAAATTCATATCGCCCCGTACGAACCTCCTCCAATTGTTTTAGCAGCAAGGAATTTAGATATACGTTGAGCAAAATCATCTGCATTGCCCCGAATGGATAAAAATAAGTAGGCTTAGCTGGGCAGTGGAATAGGTTCAATGTGAGATCCTGGTCCAAATATGGGATATGTATTTGATATTTCATGACTATTACAAATTGAGGCAGTTTTACTATCCCGTTCATAAGGACTAACAGTGTTCGTCTGTGCAGCTGCCTCTCATCTGCAGTTATGTATGGGGTTGATCTATGATGATGATGATGAAGTATCAGGAATATGATTTTGCTACCCGAAAATCATATATAGAATTTTTTTTTTTTTTTGAAGCGATGGTTGACGAGTTCTCCGAAACATTGGCAGTTACTTAGGGAAAGTATAGCGTTCAGAGGTGATGAAAAAAGCCGGTAAGCTAGGAGGTTTTCTGATCAATGTGAACGGACGGGCTGTAAGTTGAAGTTGTTAATCAGACTTAGAGCCACGATGGTTGTATATGGTTAGCAGTAGCAATCTCCTCTTGTCCCTATGAGAGTATTGTCATTCATCGCCCAAAAATTTAGCGTAGCCCGACGTCAGGGAAGTGAACGGAAGAAAACAGCAATATCAGCAAAAATGGTTTGAAAAGTAAAGATGCGACTTGATCGAAACCCGCGTCGCAGTGACCGAAAAATGGCAATATTCCATTCGGCAAATATTGAAAAATGAGCTCGGGGTAAAGCCATTGAAATTCCAAAAAGTGTAAGAACTTACACCGCAACAGAAAGAAAATAGACTCAAAAGAGCTAAAGAGTTGCTTCGCTTGGCCGAAAGTGGTGAACTGCCGAATTTGGTTTTCTCCGATGAGAAAACATTCGTTGTCCAGCAGTTTGTAAAAAAAAATGATCGCGTTTACTTGCCAATGAGATCAGCTGAAAATGTGCATCTCCGGTTGGCCACCAGAACTCAAGCGCCGGCCATGGCATGTAAATAAATGGCGAAAATATTCTGGAGGGTGTATTAAAGCCTCGGACGCGCAAACATTTTGGCCGCAGACGTTGGACATTCCAACAGGACTCAGCACGCGCCACCCAAGAATGGTTACAAAATGAGGTTCCTCGCTTCATTTCCAGCAATGACCACAAAATCTCCGGATAGCAAGGTCGGCACTAAAAAATGCCAAAGTGTCGATCACCAAGCAAGCGCTTTGCGGGAATGTGCCAAAATACCGCAAAGAAACATTCGGGCAGTGTGTGACGGTTTCATTGGCCATCATTCGTGCCACAAGGTGACCAATTCGAACAAATCTAAACTTAATCTCAAATTTCATGCTATTTCCGACAATTTTTGCTTTCATTCAATATATTTAAAAAAAATGAAAAAATTATGGCGTTTGACTTTGTTGTAGTTTTTTATCTCACCCTGTATAGGCCATTAGAGTCTCAAGTAAAATAAGTGTGTACAGGACAGAGTCGCACACATACGTTTCTGGTACAATCCTTTCGCACAACTTTGTAATCATCACAATCCTGTAAAAAAACAGTTCTCAATAAGCTTTGACTACTGAATCGTCGCTGCGACTCATAGTTGTTCTTCGAAGAGCCAAGGTCCGTAGATTATTTCTATACCGGCATGGTCCAATTTTTTTACCGACATTCCGTGATATTATTGTCGCTCTTAATTTGTGCAAGACTTATCGTGTGTACACTGCTTAAATCTTTTCCCGTACTCTAAAAGTGGTAAAACTTTTCGAAAATCGAACTTTTCGGAAATCGAAAACAATAACAATTGATAATTCGGCATTTTTACTCACCACTTGTATGACCAAAACCGAATATTTTTCCCAATGAATTGCGATCATTCACCATTATAGCATCGGGATTAAATTTAAACCCCTTCGGCAAATCATGTTTGGAATAATCTTCGATATTTGTTACAGCTTGTGTGCCAAAGCTTCCTTCTGTCGGAAAGAACCGTAGACCAGCCTGGAAGAAAACAATGACATATTTATTTTGGGAAATTGTATGTAGGTCCACAATTCTCGCAACCTACCTTACTCGATGAAATCATTATCCACGATGTACCATTTTGAAGCTTAGGTTCTTCCAAATAATCGCAATGATCTGCCGAACATCGGCAAACAATGCCAAACTTGGTTTCCAAACGATCACATTGAGAACTTGCTAAATCTAAAAAAAATAAAAATATTTAAATATCAATTAACAACAACAATAAGCAATATCGAATTTTACACCTTACCTAGATAATAAATTATTATCAATGAAATGATTAACAAATTAGAAAAAATAAATGTCATTATTCTGGACAAAAAACTTCAATAACATTTAATTTTCGAAAATTTCACTTTTGTTTCGTTTATTTTACACCGCTGTCCATTCGATGGCGTTGGCTTCCCCTCCCTTTCGAACTTTTGCAACTAAACCCCAGTCGGTAACATTCGACGCTGACAGTCTGCCAGCCAATAACACAATGCATTCGTTGGCGTCTAACTCTCGCTTACTCTCTCTCTCTCTCTCCTATCTCTCGTTATGTCGTTTAATGTTTACACTAGCCGAATAAACTAACCTTGCGGTACTCTCTCCTGAGCTTATCACTAAAATTGTTTATTGTTAATTTACCTCCATACTCGCGGGGGTCTTAACAGTTCAGCTAATCTCTTTGTGTTCGCCCGCTCTCTACTATTTGGAAAACAAAATAAAAAAATAGTATGGGTCATTCCATTTGCATTTTTATTTAAGATACTCTCAACCATGCCACGATATTAGAGGACATTGAGAGCACTTCCCTCCGGCCAAGTTTGAAACGTTGGATAATCAACTACAGTATTTTTCGGTTAATTGCACATCAAAATTTGCACAAATTTTTGTTCAATTAACCGAGAAACCAATTATCCGGTACCCGCTTAATTGAATAGTTTGTTCAATTACAGAAATCACGTATAATTGGAACTGCTTATGAATAAAAAGAAATCCAATGTCAAATACAAAATACGCTTTCCCGCAGTTTTTCCTTAACAAAAATATATGTTTTCAATGAGTAGAGATCCCACCTAGTCTTTTTCACATATTATGTTAATATGTATATAAACCAGTAAGGAAAGTAGTAAAGTCGGACGGGGCCGACTATATGATATCCTTCACCATGAAATTGTATGAACTAAAATATCTGAACTTTATCTAAATATGAATCGACTTAGATGATAAACTAATTTAGACTAATTTATCCTAATGGACCTATTTTGGGTCCTATTTAAAATCGGACGAAACTATATGTGAGCTATATCTAAATTTGGACGGATTTCAACAAAACTTGACAAGCGCTTGGCTAAACTATTTTAAGTACGTTGTGCAAAATTTTGTGTTTGAGTCTTTGGTGCTCCATTTTTTTTAATCGGAAGAAAATATTTATCGGAGCTATATCAAAATCCGAACAGGTTTCAGCAAAACCTGACACATATTATGTTGCACAAACTTTAGTACGTTGGAAACTTTACACACATCATTCTAGACTCAATTCACTACGCTAAGTCAAATTTCGTGCAAAATTAAAATTAAATCGGCAAAAATATATGGGAGCTATATGTAAATCTGAACCGATTTTCAGGAAACTTAACATACATAATTTTTGAAACAATTCAGTACGCTATGCCAAATGCTGTGCAAATCAAAATATATATAGGTACTTTGGTACATCATTTACGTTAAATCGGTCGAACGTACATATGGGAGCTATATCTAAATCTGAACCGATTTTCACGAAACTTAACAAACATCGTTCTAGGGATCTATGCCACATTTCGTGCAAATCGAAGGATATATAGGGACTTTGGTACACAATTTACATTAAATCGGTCAAACACATATATGGGAGCTATATCTAAATCTGAAACGATTTTCAAGAAAATTTATACACAACATTCTAGTCTCAATTCAGTACGCTAGGCCAAACTTCGTGCAAATCGAAATATATATAGGGCCTTTGGTACACCATTTACATTAAATCGGTCGAAAATATATATAGGAGCTATATCGAAATCTGAACAGATTTTTACGAAAATGTATACACATCATTCTAGACTCAATTTAGTACGCTATGCCAAATTTCGTGCAAATCGGAAGATATATAGGGACTTTGGTGCACCATTTACATGAAATCGGACGAAAATATATATGGGAGCTATATCTAAATCGGATCCGATTTTCTCGAAACTTGACACACGTCATTGTTGCGTCAATTCAGTACTCTATGCCAAATCTCGTGCAAATCGAAATATATATATAGGGACTTGGTGTCCCATTTAACATAAATCGGACGAAAATATATATAGGAGATATATCTAAATCTGAACCGATTTTCAAGAAATTTTACACACATCATTCTAGACTCAATTCAGTACGCTATGCCAAATTTCGTTCGAATCGAAAGATTTTAGGGACTTTGGTTCACCATTTACCTGAAATCGGACGAAATTATATATGGGAGCCATATCTAAATCTGAACCGATTTTTCTCAATTTCAATGGGGTTCGTTCTTGGGCCAATCCAATTCGGATCATAAATGCGACCTGTACATTGTCTACAATTTAACATGGACAGACAGACAGATGAACGGACTGACGGACGGACATTCATAAATCGACTTAGAAAGTGATTCTATGCATATTCTCAAAAGGAACAATGTGTCTATCTCGTTTCCTTTTGCCTGTTACAAACATATGCACAAAGACATAATACCCTGACAGATTACTTTTCCAATTATTATTTTGCAATTAACCGGTGAAAAGTAAAGGGAAATTTGTTATTGATGACATGAATTTTGAACCAATTAAGCGGGAAAATCAATTAACAGGGTTTAATTATCCGAGGAAATTTACATGTGTTTTCATATGCAATATTTTTTGCCCTATCATGTGGTGCAATTAAGCGTAGAAACCAATTAACCGTAGGGTCAATTAACCGAAAAATACTGTATATGTGAGGACGCCAGTCGTACGTGGAGTTCCGGAACAAGAAGTCCAAACCCCGTAGAGTTAAACAGGGTGTTCCCCAGGGTGGAGTGATTTCTCCGGAATTGTTTAACCTCTACCTTTCCGATATTCCACGCCCTCCGGACGGCAAAGAAATCGTTACATATGCAGATGATTGTATGATCATGGCTTCGGATTCCATTGTTGAGACATATGTGTGAGGTTGAATGCCTATCTCGTCGAATTAGCAGCCTTCTTTGAAGCGAGGAATATGAAAATATGCGCCAAGAAGTCGTCAGCCACATTATTCACCACAGGGACTGCGGAGATGAGAATGCCGTTGAATGTGCAGGTCGAGGGGCATACAATTCCGACCACCAACAACCCCAAAATATTCGGGGTCACATTCGACAGTATTTTTAAATCGTCCGCGAAAACCACAGCTATCTGCGATAAGTTGAAAAGTAGGAACAAGGTACTCAAGTCGCTTGCCGGCATCACTTGGGGCGCATATAAGGAAACCTTATTGACCTCTTACAAAGCGATAGGTCGGTCTGTGGCAAGCTATGCGGTTCCAGTGTGGTCTGTGAACTCTGCTGATACGCAATGGAGAAGTATTCAGACCTGTCAGAACGCCGCCCTGAGGACTGCGAAGGGGTGCCTCCTCATGACACCTGTGGACCATCTTCATGAGGAAACGACGATCCTTCCATTAATTACGTCAGCATAGCAATATGCTTTCGTTGCAGTACCTGCTCGGGTGCTTCAGGGAAAATCATCCCAACCATCATATGGTGGATAGGACTGGAGTATCAAGAAGGATCTGCATGATCTAGGGAGAGAGGTCCAACGTTACAAAAGGGAGCCTCTAGATCAAATTGCCTATCGAGCAGGTCTGAATAGCATTCATACTGATGCAGTAGCCGCAGCACTGAACGGGTACAGAGTAGTTTTGGCCCAATTACGTTCAGGATGGTGCAGTCGTCTCAATTCGTATTGGGCACGGATTGGTGACCAAGTGCAGGATGTCTGTCCAGCAAGTGGTACGGGCCCTCATACCACACTGCACTTATTCAATTGCCCAGCCAAATCTACTTATCTTACTCCAGAAGATCTGTGGTTACGACCAGTGGAGGTAGCTGCATTTCTAAATTTGGGGACAGAACCAGATGAAATTTAAACAAAAAGATATAATTCATATAAACAACAACAACCGTAATAGGCGTGGATTTTTAAAGACTACTTTTCTCAAGAACATTTTCCCAATAAAACTTCGGAATATTTAATAAATATTTTTAGTTTATTTTGAATTTGGTTTTTTTTTATTTTAATGATAGATCATGGTGTGAATGGATCTTGGAGGTAAAATAATAATAGCACTTCCGCGTTCACTGTCAATGATATTGATTTCCACCGGGACATTTCCGCTACGAAAGAAAAATTTGTGAAAAATTAATCCCAATTGAAAAATGTACGCCTTGTAATCGTTTGGGGAACTCACCTATTAAACAGCACCGCTGCAATGGAACCATCTGGTCGCAAATAGGCCACACTATCAATATTTACATTACTGCGCAGGGCATCAATGCGCACAGAACCCTCGGGTATAAATTTCGAGAAATGACCCATGGCATAGAACATGGGTTGTTTCAAAATTTCATTGGGATCTAAAAAAAAAAATAAAGTTCTTCGAATCAATCTTTTCGTAATTGTTATTAGAACTTACTCGACGAATCCACAATGATGGGAGCATCGACAGTATTATCCACATAATTGGGACCACCATTTTCATCCAAAATCAAATTCCAATCAATCCAACCATTGTAGCCATGTTGCAGATTTTGCAAGAAAGCCCGAGCCATTTTTTCACCACGATACCAGGAACCCAAAACGGGGCCAGATTTCTGCCATGGTTTGTCGCCAATGCATGACTCGGTCATGAGGAGGATTTTCTCCGGATACAAGGCCAAGGTGTTATCTATGAAGGAGGGCTTGAAAATCTCATCCCAATACCAATGGACAGCAAAGCCATCCAAATAATTCAAACTGTCACGGCGGGCCAATTTCATCTGGAAAACATAGAATAACAATTCGATTTTTTTTTCATTTTAATAAAAAAGAGTCCGAACTTACCATCTTAAACCACGTTGGAAAGGTGTAACGCTGATCATCATTACCAAAAATCAACAAATCCTTATATTTCGAATTGCGTATGGTCGGACCCAAATTATCGCTTAACCATGCCGCCTGACTCAGTGGATGCCAACCCATACTCATGAACCGGACAAAGTACATAAAGAATATGCCATTCATGGGCTCATTACCCGTCGAAATGGCCCATACGGGTAATCCGTTCTTCTCCATTACCTCCAACCATTTCAAATGATAATCGGCCCAGGTCTGGAAATATTCCTTTTTCAAACGACCAAATCCCGTCCAACGATCATTTGTTTTCATCCAACGTGGCGCACTCCATGCCGCACCCTTAATGCGTAAATTTTTCGGATTCGCCACATTTCGGAGACGTCGAATTTGTTCAGCCTTGGTTAGATCGCGTGGATCCAAATCGGTGAAATTACTCAATTTGGCATCATTGACAGGTTCTTCGTTGTATGCCCAGGGTGCTAAATCGAAATCACAACCGCCAATGGACATACGTATTAAATTATAGGCAATACCATCGTCGCCATAATAGGATCTGAAATTTTATTTCGAATTTAATTTGGATGTTATGGAAAGGTGACCTATTCACACTCACCTGTATAAATGATCCTGCAGAGCTTGTGGTAATTTTTCCAATAGATATGATACAGCCCCAGTAAAGGCGCCGCCAAATCCCACAATTTTACGATATTGCTTCTCACGATTAATCTCGAGATTGACAGTGCGGGTGGCAGCTATTAAGGAAAAATTGGGGAAAAATGATTAATATTAAAGGTACGAAAGGTGTTGATTTTTTAAAGACTACTTTTTCAAGGACTTTCTATGGCGTGGATTTTTTAAGAACCTGCTTGAAGGAAGCACTTCTTGCCCCGATAATAGTATAGAAGCACAATAGCAAAGAATTGCCCATTCCCTACAAACTGCAACACTTGGGTACCAAAAACCACCACCAGCGTACAGGGTAATCCTGCAGACAGTAGCAACACGTAACGTGATGGAGAATTATAGGGGGAAAAGGAGAGAGAATAACGAGTTTTAGAAAAAAAGAAGAAAGAACAAGGAAAACGTGAGCGTGAGAAAATCGAGATGTACAGGAGTCAGAATGAAGTCCGGAAATTTAACCAACGAGTAAAACACCAAACCGAAGGCTACCAGCCGAACTATTCAAGACTGGTGGCCAGATGCTGGTCAGGAGCATGCACCAGCTAATTAGTACAATTTGGCTAGATGAATGCATGCCCAATGATTGGAACCTCAGCATCCTGTGTCCCGTGCACAAAAAAGGAGACAAGACGATATGTGCCAACTAGAGAGGAAAAAGTCTCCTTCCAATCGCATATAAAGTGCTATCCAGTGTGCTGTGTACTTGCGCAAGCATATGAGGCAGCTTTGGGGTGTTTGAAAGAAAAATTCTCCGAAAGATCTACGGGCCTATCTGCGTCGACGGTGAATATCGGCGTCGAATGAACCACGAGCTTTACAATTTATACGCGGACATCGACATAGTCAGTCGTATTGAGCTGCAGCGACTACGGTGGTTAGGCCATGTTGCGCGAATGAATGAGAATGCCCCATCTCAAAAGGCATATAAAAGCGAGCCTACTGATGGCTCCTGTAGAAGGGTAAGGCCACGAATTAGATGGAAAGACCAAGTAGAAAGCAACATCTTGGAACGTGGTCTTCCAAATTGGTGGATTTGCGCACAAGACCGACGCGTTTGGAAATCTTTTTTAAGCTCGGCTTATGGAATAACCGTTCTGTAACAAGCCAGCTATGTAAGTAAGTTCGGGAGCCCAAGGGAGACTTTTTCATATCAAATAGCTCCACCCGATTCTATTTTTACCCTTCCTCTTATCATCCAATTCGATCGACGTACGTATAATCTGTATAATCAGATTAGCAATGTGCTTGAAATATTTAGAAATACCTCATCACAATGCGATTATCTTTCCGGCATAGCTTTAATCCAATAACCTGGAACTATCTCTTAAAAAAACTTACCACGTTCACTAACATCCACGCTGATATTATCACTTTGTTGACGAGGAAGTTGATCATAATCCAAAACGAATTGTTTACTGAAGCGATTAAAAAGGCCACTGGTTGTGGAAAATCTCAAGCCGGCCTAGAAAAAAACAACAACAAAAATTTACCTTCAGTACTCTAAAATTCAAAATTGATTTTTCTCAAATAACCTACCTTCGAAGAAGAAACCAGCGAATATTGAACTTCACTTGTTGGTGTCGGATCATCCAAATAATCACAATATTCCGCATTACAAACGCACACACCACCTTCGGCAGTTTCACGCAATTTACATGGTGTTGTGAGGGCGTTGGTGGCAACTGGAAGGGAGGTCGGATTTTTAATTAAAACACCAAAAAAGTATATCCTCTTTTAAACTCACCCAAAATGGTTGCGAAAATTATTAGAAATTCTTTTAAATGGATTAACATATTATCCGCCGTCTATTCGTTTCAATAGCCACCACTGGACTAATTGCGACCGATTGCCAAGTCAATAATAATAAACCATTTTATGGTTTCTAATCAATTGATTTATTGTTTTTGAAAATCTTGAATTTTTTTTTAATTTTCCAATAACAAAAATCAGGTATGAGAACCTTAATATGTTCAGGTGTTTGTTTATATTCCTCTGCAAACGATACCTAGTCATATCGTTCAATGGGACAACAACAAAAATTTTGTTATGATTTGATAACGTCGTTTTTTTGTCCAGCTGCAAATTGCTTTCTCCACAATTCGGTCAATTAATTAATTTAATTAGATGGGTTAATCCATAGTAGGGCGGCACCATCCACGGAAAAATGCAAGCGAATTGTAAACACCCTTTCCAGGGTAAAAATAGACTTCAGGAAGGTGTACCATAAACAATGGAAAACCTCTAGGCTATATATATTTTATTGTCTGTCGAAGAGCTAGAGTTTTATAGTCCATAGAAGACCAAGAGGTCTATACAAGGCGTGGATTTTTTACAAATATTTTTCAAGGGTCACCTAGGCTCTGTAGGAAGCTCGGACTTCTTAAAAAAAAATTTTAACGACTATATAAGGCGTGGGTTTTTAGAGAATATTTTTTCTACGACTGTATAAGGCGTGGATTTTTTAAATAATTTTTTTGAACGACTATATAAGGCGTGGCTCTGATTGGCTTTAACATGGAGAGGTTCAGGCTTATCTTGGTCCCTCTTTCATTTCAATTGTGGACACTGATCTCCCCGCGGTATGACCTGGGGGCGTTGAACTGATTGTGCCACGAATTCACCCATAAGAACTGTACAAAAATGGGTTGAGGCGTCGGGTTAGTTGCCCACACTCAGAAAACCCCTCCTACTAGGCGTGGCTCTGATTGGCTTTAACATGGAGAAGTTCAGGCTTATCTTGGTCCCTCATTCATCTCAATTGTGGACACTGATCTCCCCATAAGAACTGTACAAAAATGGGTTGAGGCGTCGGGTTAGTTGCCCACACTCAGAAAATCCCTCCTACTATGAAAAAGAATACCAAAACCCCCTAATGTTAACGACCCCCGCAAACGTATAAAGGACCACGATCTGCGAATCTGCATTTGGAATGTGTGCACGTTGTACAGAACAGGCGCAGTTCTCGCTTTGACGGATGTACTCAAGAAGTACATAGCCCATATTATTGCCTTTCAGGAAATGCGATGGAAAGGGACAGGCGTAAGTAAATCAGACGATTACGCACTGTATTATAGCTGCCATGAAACGAGACATGAATTTGGCTGAGGATTTATGGTCTCCAGATTTACTACAGTAGATAAACGAATTGCTATAATCCGCATAAAAGCGAAGTTCTTCTACATCAGTCTTATTTGCGCTCATGCTTCGACCGAAGACAAAGATGAGCAGACCAAAGACATATGTATTTTACGAGCGCCTAGAAACAGCATATGACTGCTGTCCTGGCCATGACATTAAAATTCTGCTAGGAGATTTTAATGAAAAAATCGGAAAGGGAAAATATTTTTGGCGCCACCGTCGGAAAATTCAGCCTCCATGAAGAAACATCAGACAATGGCATGAGCTTGATTGACTTCCCGGCGGCAAAAGACATGGTAGTTAACAGCACCAGATTCAAACATCTCGATATGCACAAGGCCCCTTGGATTTCTCCCGATCGAACAACGATAATTCAAATCGATCATGTTGTGATAGACGGAAGGCATTCATCCAGTGTTTTAGACGTCCGATCGATCCGGGGAGCGAATATCGATTCGGACCACTACCTTGTGGCATCCAAGGTACGCACCCGTCTTAATGTAGCAGCAAAGGTGCGATCTAATGTAACACTGAAATTTGACGTCGAAAAGCTACAAACACAACAGGTAGCCGAGGCCTACTCTGCTCAACTTACCCACCTGCTTGACGAAGCACCCCTTGTCCCGATAATGATATAGAAGCACAATGACAAAGAATTGCCCACTCCCTACAAACTGCAGCAAAAGCAACACTTGGGTACCAAACACCTCCATCAAGAAACCCGTGGTACGATCACACGTGTTGTAATGCTACTGATGTGAAAAACACAGCGTATAAGGACCTATCGGAGCCCTTCAGGTGACAGTTTGTCGTGCGATCTTTTTAACATCCTGCTGGAAAAGGTCATAAGAGGCGCTAAGGTTAACCGAAATGACACTCTGTATACCAAACAACACATGTTACTCGCCTACGCCGATTACATCGATATAATGGATCGAACATTGCGAGTGGTAAAAGCCACCTTTGAATAAATTGAGAAGGAGTCTACTAAAGTGGGTCTGGCAGTAAATGGCGAGAAGACCAAGCTCATGGTATCAACGCGCAAGTCGACCAGTAGACTCGGGCCAACTGTGGAACTTGAAAACTACAGTTTCGAGGTAGTCAAAGAATTTATATACCTTGGTACCGCCATAAAAAACAAATCTGTTGACCAACAGGGCCACCTCTCGCCAGACCAAACTCACACTCTACAAGACGCTGATACTACTGATCTGCGTTGGCGGTAAATATCGTCGTCGAATGAACCATGAGCTATACCACCTATTCTCGGACATCGACATAATAGACGTTTCGAGCTGCAGCGACTACGTCGGCTAGGCCATATTGTAAGAATGGATGAAGATACCACAGCTCAAAAGGCACATAAAAGCGAACCAGAAGGGGAAGACCACGAATCCAATGGAAAGATCAAGTAGAAGTCAACATCTCGGAAAATGGACTCGATTTATGGAACAAATATTCTGTCAGAAGCCAGCTAAGTTCCTACTTTTTAGGTTATCATAGATAGCTGTACAACGCTTTCCTAGGTAGATTACGATTCGTAACAGGATAGCTCGACCAGTACATTTCACCTTTGTTGGCTCCCTTGCCCATTGTCCACGCTTTGCGAACCATGTACGTGAATATCGACAGATTCTCCCAGGTCATCGGCCTAAAGCACTTCGGATGACATCACAATGTCAAACCCATCGTAAACTGTGGTGGTACTTCCTCTGTGGTAAAGGATTGTATGCCACGTACTTCCCATTTATTCTCCCTATACTCAAAAAACTATCGGTTAAAATAAGTAACACATCGGTGCTTAGTTTATTTAATTTTAAAAATTTAAGGAGTTATTTTAAACATATTTTCAAAAAATGCAGTAAAGTAAAAAAGCACACAATGTTTTAATTATGTGGCCACTTTAAAGTCGATGTTTTTCATAAAAATCGTTATTTATGGAAAAATTGCATGCAATAATGTTCACACTAATTCTCAGTTACAGTATATCTAAGTGTTCTGAATTAATAAAAAATTAAAAATATTTCCAACGAATCGAGGGGGCTGATCAACAAATTTTTACCACAGGTAATGTTTTAATTACGTGACCGCCACTGTATATCATTACCTTTATAACATTAAACATTTCTATAAACTCAAAAGTGTGCGCCTAAAAGTATGCTTCATTTAAAACACAGACATCAATTTCAGGCAATGTTAAGTACACAAAGAGATTTATTTTTTTAACATTTTTAATCATAGCCTGATCAATGTTATTGTTTTCTTTTACTATAAACTATTTTTATTTAATTTTTTTATTTTGTTTTGGTTAAAAGGCATATGTATATATAAACTGTAAATAACAATAATTAAATTACAGCTATATGTTTTTGTTGTAATTAATTGCTATTTTCTGCGATAAGTTATTGACATTTAAACCACACACACGGAATGGGTAGATACAATATTTGTTTGAAAAGTAAAGAAAAAGAATAGGGAAAAGGAAATAATAAATAAAATACTAATTAAAAAATATAACACAAAAACCAACAAATGCATAAAATTACAAAAAAAATGTATTGAAATTAATTACGTAGAAGAAAAAAATTAACTATTCCTGTTAATACTTGGTGTTTCTTTTGCTATGTAATATAAATTAAGGAGGAAGTTTTTGCCATACAATATGATAACAACAATTGCATGGAAGAGGTTAAAAATAATATTTCTTGATGTTTTTCATTCCAGATTTCCATTTAATTCAAGAAACGAATGGACATTTTTTGCTCAACATCTGTGCGCTCCAACGCCTTGCAGAAATCCTCAAATGAAATTTTACCCTGACAGCATAAATCGGCTTCCAAAATGGTACGTTCCGCAATGCTAACCAATTGATCTTGACTGATATTGGCACCGACCATCATGTGCAAAATGCTCAACAGTTCATCGCGGCTGATCACGCCATCATCATCCAAATCGTACATTTTGAAGGCGACTAAAGGGGGACGAAGAAATGAAATTATAAATTAATATTAATAATGAAATTAATTTTTAGTTTTGGTTTTTTTACTTACACTTCAATTTATCTTCACGTGAATTCAGTTTATTCTCCTTCTTGGTCTTAATTGGTCGGAAGTGGGCCAAAACATTCATAAATTGACGGAAATTGACACGATCATCGGTACTGTCGGCAAAGAAGGCATGCACAATACGTTCACACAAAGGATTAATGGCCAATTCAGGAATCCTCAAGAAATCATCGCGAGACAATGTGCCACAATCTCCACGATCCAAAGAGGTGAATCGAGAATACAAACGTTCAATTTGATTGGGGGTAACTAGAATTAAAAAAAAAAAACATTTTTGAAATTAATTTATAGTGAAAAAATCTGAAATAAAATATAGAGTAGTATAAGTCGCTTAAAAGTTAAAAAAAAAATTAAACATTTATAATTTTTTTACGTACGAGCATGTGTTGTGTTGTTTACAGTGACTTGTATTATCAATTTCCAAAAAAAGGAGTAACCTCTTAAGGTGTAGATTATTAAATAAATTTTCAAACCACATACCTCCATAAGGCGTGGATTTTTATATAAATTTTTAAACCACATACCCAGCTCCATAAGGTGGAGATAAACGAAATAACGAACATTAGATGTACCATTATATGAGAGCTATGTCACTAATGAGAATTCAAAAAATCCTTAAAATATCTATGGGGGCTACCCTGAAACATGGGTCAATATTGATATTTTTTTGGTAGGAAGATTTCCTACCCAATGAGAACCCAAAATATCAAATTAGGGACATTTCAATTGAAAAAGTGTCCAAAACCCGAATAATTAGGTGCACCGTTATACATGGGTTACCCCGAATCTTGGACCAATATTGATAATTTTCGGTGAGTGTCCAAAATATATTAAATTACAAAACTTATTATTGAAGGCCTATAGGTCGGCTTTAGAGGATCTGGAAGTCATATATTGTCATTAAAAGAATTAGAAACCATAAATTGCATGTAGAAGGCCTAAAGATAGTATTGTAGCAATGTCTATAGAAGACCTAAAATACCTTCTGAAGGTCATCTCTTGCCTACAGTAGACCCAGAGTTCTTCTACTGTCTTTGAAAGACTTATAGGCCATTCTTCATGCAAGTCTATAAAATAGAGGTCACATATTTTCTATAGAAGATTTCAACAGACAGACGGACATGACTAAATAGAAATGGAATTTTTATTTTGAACAAGACAATAAATACTTCATGGCGCCTGCGACGAATATTTCGATGCGTTGCAAATAAATTTAAAATTCACCCGAACTCATGGTGGAGGGGGAAATGGTAATTTTACCGTTCACGACAGACAAATAAATATTTCTAATCATTGTCTAGTTATTTAAAACAAGGTATGAAACCATCACAAAAGAGTATAAATATAAACAGAATTAAAAATATAGTAAATCCATTAACTTAAGTTGGGTTGTAAATTTTTGGTTTTAAAAACTCCTCTGACTCCTCTCTTGCCAACTATTTCGCTCTCCTCTCACCCTGAACATTGTACCCAACAAACACCCCACTATCATCATCGCCTGTCGTTTTGTCATTTTCAATTTCACTATGGCTATTAAATAATTAGCGCCTCTTATCGGTTATCATTCTCAATTGATTCTTATCATTAACAAAAGAAAATGTCGAAAACGAAAACTTTGTCAAAAGTGGAGGCTACCTTATTTATTTTTGTGTTCTATAATTATAGCAACAGCAGCACTTTTTGAAATGCAAACAAATAGCGACAGAAAAAAATGTCATTTCAAGATCACAGTATCTACACCTAACTTTCGTATTTTACAGCAATAAAAAAAAACACTTGAAAACTGTTAGCTTCAAAAGCAAATAATACTACACACTCACCCCGTCACATATGTACGACTTTTATTTTTTTAAAACAATGAATGACAAATATTGTCTTATTGATGTATGTGCGAGCTTTTTTGTGTTTTGGCTTAAGAATGAAACGGTGGAAAATATTTTTTCTCACTTGAAACAAATTCGATTAAAATTTGAATATGACGTCATTTTAATGGAGATCAATAATCTATGGAAATGTTTATGACATACACACATACAGATAAATCTAGCATCGTCACACGATATTCATTATTACAAATTGACAAAATGGGTAAATTTTTTAACAAACTAAATCACGCTATTTTCGTTCTATTTTAAAAATAATCAGTACACAGATATATTTTTTGAGTACATGGCTCAACGTTATCTGATCTTCAATACAGTAAAATCTGTTTTTATATATTTTTTAGATAAGGGTTTTCTTATGACTTCTCAATACAATTTATTAATCAATACCATAGAGACAACAGTAATTGAAACAATATTCTCAAAAATACCTGAAATTTTATAGAAAACATTGTCTTGGGAGGTATTTTGAAAAATGAATACAAGGTTTCCAAAAATATCATAAATTTTGATTTAAACAAGTAAAAAAAGTGTCAGTCGGCGTTGCTGCAGATATATACCATCAACCTATGGCTTTCGGAGGTCCAAGGGGTTACACACAAGTTGTATAAATCGACTCATATTATCAACTCGGTTATTCAATTTGCTTCAAAATAAATTTACAAGATTATAAAATATTAAACCTTTGTTGGGGAGGTATCAGAAGAGTCGATCGTGCAAAGTTTGGTTCAAAAAGAACATTCCATTCGTCTGATAGTAGATTTATAAATATTGAAAATGTTGACCAATGGTTCCCATCTTCAGACTTGATCTAGGCTTGGTAAAGAGAATAGTCTGTGCAAAGTTTGGTTCAAATCGGATTATCCCATAAATTTTTAGCACAATGTTGATCATTTTGTGGGGGAGGTACCAGAAGGAGTGGACCGGTTTTCCCCATTTTCGAAATTGAAATAAGTTTGGTAGAAATATTAAAATGTGAAAGGTTTGGATGGAATCGAATACTCCCTTCGAGAGTTATCGAGCGCACCAACCAACCAGACAGCCGGACGGACATTTGTAAATCGACACAAAATTGCATGAAACGGATTTGATGCAAAGAAACATGGGATCTAAAACCAATATTTCGATGAGGCGCATTTTAACGTATCAAAGGTCCACAAGGCTGAGGGTATAAGTAATGGATTTTTGGCATATAAAATAAGGTATTTAAATGACACAGTAGGGCATACACTAAATCTCTAAACAAAAATTTTAAGCTTATAAGAATTTCTGACCACATAGAATTTGGATATTTGGCATATCTAAAATTTTTCCTATTTATTGGCAATATAACCTCAGACTTTGTGTCCAATTAAATGACTAGTGTACCCTTCGAAGTAAAACGGAACGGACCTAAAGGTCTTATATAATTTACAGATATCTGGAGAACATATATTGCCAATAGCGGACCAAGTGCTTTTATATAGCATTTAAAAGACTGATAAATCATACTTTGAGTATATAATGACTAAAGATGACACACACTACACATATTTTTTATAGAAGACCCAGAGGTCAAGTTGGAGTCAGACTTGGATTCTGTCGGTCAACTGAGTTTACACTTCTTTCGTTGATGCTACAGCAATCGTCCTGTGTAGACTTGGCCGGAATCACCGTAGTGTCCAGCTCATCATCAGTCAGGGTAATATTCAGTAGCAGTTCCTCCGGAAGTGTATCCACACTTTGCTCTTCCGGTACAAGTCTGTCCAGTTGTTCGAAGAGTTCCCTACTCAGTTCTTATAGACTATCGCGGATAGCACTAAAGGTCCCTTTTAGGTCGTCCCCTCCCAGAACTAAAGTCCTGTAAGTCGTAGACTGATTTGCATCAGTCTTGACTACCTCGTTTTCCATTTGAATTACCGGGTCGTCATCTTTTTTAGGGGGTAAACATGATGCGCCTGTAACAGGTACAGCTTCAGATGCCAAGGCATCCACACCTAAAGCAGCCGGATTACAATCGCTTGATCTCGACGACACGTGGCTTGTGATCTCACCAACGATTGCCACCGGTACTGGGTTATTAACTCCCTGCACCGTAAAATTATTTCTCCTATTCTTTTTGCCCATCTTAGTTGATTATTTTAAGGGCACTATCCCGAATTTTTTAATAATGGAATATTAAAAAATCGACAAAATTTCCAATATTGCCTATATAACTCTTGAAATAACGATAGAGCTCGCAATATTTAAGATAGAACTTTAAAAATTTACATATAGATTGTTACTACCCCTAATGTTTGGTATTGAAAATAGGATATATCGGTCCACGTTTTGCTATAGCCCTCAAATATATAGTATTTTGGAGATGTTTGTATTTTTTTCAGCCGGATTGTCTGTAATTTGGTACTTTGAGTTCCCATTGGGTACCACAAACATTTTATGCAAGCTTCCAAATTTTCCACCAAAGGAGAAAAAATTTCCTTGTTTTTGTAGGGTTCTAAAGCCCATATCTTGGGTAGAAGATAACACATTGAGTCTTAAAATAGATTATTATTATAGTTTAGAGAGGCTTTATAAAGATAAGCAAACAAGTAAAACTACATGTTGGCAAAATTAGCAACTTGCAAATTATCAGGTTGCGAAAAAAATTCAATTGCATAAATGCTTCCGAATGTATTTGTTAAACAACGTAAATAAAAATGGTATCTCCGACATCCCTACCTACAATTATTTATAGTCCCAATTCCAGTACAGACCTCCAAAGAAATGTTATCTATATTTTAAATTTCTCCTAAATTTAAATATTCAAGTTATCCCAGAAATGTGTATGGAGCTTATAACAAAGTCCCCGTACAATTATTCCCAAATATTCGCAACGAAGACCTAGACAATTACCGCCCATCTTAACAATAGATGGGACTCCATAAAACGTAATTTTTTTTAGAAACTTGCTAAATGATCAATTAGCAAAACCATAATGGACACTATGTATGTACATAAATACATACGTTTGTAGCACATCGAAATTTTTGACCAATAAAATATATTTATTAGTTTGAAGATAATAAACAAAGTCAATAAACAATTATGTCTGATAAATAGAATATAACGAACACACACACTCTCATATACACCTTTAACACATTATCCATATCGTAAATTTTTCACTTAAAGTCACCGCACTTAATTTTTTTTTTTAATTTTTATGGAAGACACCAAATGGAAACTACCCAAGATATTGACGTTGCAATGGAAATATGTAGGAAAAAAAGCAATATGCTGACTAATTTCACACTTACATCCAGTCTCTTCTTGAATCTGTGCAATTTCCTCGGGACGCAACAATAGTGATGATTTGTTACCCATGCTGTCTGTTTTTTTCCTTTTCAGATGGACTTAACTTGTTGTCTTTTGTGAATAAAACAAAAATGTATCTGCGGATCTGGTTGGTTTGCTGGTACGTAGATTGTTCGTAATTCAACAACACACAGTGATCAGCTGTTTATTAACAAATGCCAACTGACAGCCATCTATGACAAGCATTGAATGACATTTCTTTGTGGGGTTGCCGTTGTTCTCGAATACCATGATTTTGGCAAACATAAGTATATTAAGGGGGGTATATAAAAATTTAAATTAAATGTTTAAGTGTATAATGAGTTTTTTATTTATATTTGAAATAATATCTCAAAAACCCTTAAAAGGTTTTATTAGATAACATATCGTTAAAGAGGTTCACATTTAATATAAGTGATTTTTATTTAGGTTATCGGATGTTAAGCTGCTAATTATTTAGCAATTGTTTTCACACAAACACCCTGGGCCCATTGAATTTATTCCTAGTACAAGAAAAAGGTGCGTAGAATATGAAATTAAATGTTAGATATTTATGGCAAAAATATGAATTTTGATGGGATATACTCTGGAGAAGAATGTTAGATTATCGATATCGATTGTTTGGACTATTTTTCAAATGGGCCGAGGGGATTTTGAAATATTTTCTTGTGAAGAGTACTAATTCGGTCTTCGTGGGGTTGCCATAAAGAAATTTACCTCATCTCAAAATAACTACGTCATCGACATAGGCTACAATCTTTATCTTGAGATCGAACTTCCTCATGTTCCGAACCACCAACAAATAGATAGTCATCCAGTGGTACAAAAGAGAGCCTATAATCAACTGGCCTCTCATGCCGAATCGTATTGTATTCGAATTTATGCAGTTCAGGAAGCAACTCGAGAATAAAGATTGAATACTATCCTAGGAGAAAATCCGCAAACGAAAGCAGCAGCTACGGAGACAGAGAGGACATAGGTATATGATCCAAGCTGCTACAACAACAAACCAGAGTGTTTCAACACAATTGGGATCTGGATTACACCGACTCAATTCGTGTTGGACACCGCCTCAATTCGTGGACAATATCTGCCCGGTATGTCGAAATGACACGCTACACCTCTTTAACTAAACAGTCAAACCTACTCACCTAACTGCGTCTTCCTATGGACACAACCTGTACCGATTATATTTCAATTTCAATTTATTTCATAAACGAGAATCTAGCCCAAAGGGCCAAAAGCGATTCAAAAAACAACAAAAAATAAACTACTCCAAAAGCTTAAAACTAACAGTGTATTAGCTTAATGATAACTTAACGTCTATTCAGTTGGAGGAGTTCAGAACCATTGTACTTCAAAAACATTTTTATTATTATTATTATTCCATTATTTGATGTAGCGACCTATCACATAGGGCAAAGGACTTCAATATTATATCTACTCTCAACCACTAAATTCAATTTACAGGTTCAAATATCTTATTATTATATCACAATTATCAATAAAAAAAATATAATTTATTATAGTTATATTTTTTTAAATGTTGAAATCAGTTATGCAATAAAAACACAAACAAATAAGCAAAACCCATGAATTTAAGATGAATTGAGGTTGAAGTAATCGTATAAATGAGTTCGATAACATTTTAAGGAAGAGTTAAAAGTTTTAAGAGAAGGCGGTAAGGTGTTAAAAATTCTAGCAATTCGTACAAAAAAGGCTTTTTCCAATAAAGGACACAAACGCGGAACAAGTATTTGTATGTTTCTAACAGATCTAGAAAACATAAACAAATCAACTACAGAGGAAGGAGTCTGCAACTTAAATACCTTATAGAACAACAACATTGACCTTAAACTCACAAAACTTTCAAAGGTACAACCGAGGAACTCTTTAACGTAAGGAGAAATGTGATCACGACGTTTAACACAATATACATATCGCATAACCCTATGGAACAAGAGTTTAATTTTACGTAATACATATCCACAACAACCCCCAAAAATCTCAATACAATACAAAAAATTTGGCATAATCAATGCATGGGCCAATTGAATTCTAATGCTCTTAGGTGGAGCCATATCCAAAGAGTACAACTTTCTTAAAATAAAGTTTACCTTGGACACCAAAGAACTAACATGCACATCAAACACCAAACTACTATCAAGAAACAAACCAAGACATTTCATAGAGCTTACAACATTTATAGAATTATTATAAATGGAAACATTTACTGAATTCTCTTGCAAATTCCCAAAAAACATAGCTTTACTCTTTCGTGTATTAATTGAGAGTCCGTTTGCAGATAACCACGTTACTAACACATTGATATTAAAATGTATAGAGGACTGCAAAACATCTAAAAACACATATTCTCCTTTAAACAAAATCTGCAAGTCATCAGCAAATGCAAATGACATACAGCTCCTACTACTAATACAACTTAGCAAATCATTAACATACATAACAAACAATAGAGGCCCAAGTACAGACCCCTGGGGTACACCACTACTCACAGGGAGCATTCCAGAAACAACATTCCTACAACAAACATACTGCTTCCTTCCAAACAAATACGACGAAATAAGCTTACAAGCTGAGGACGAAAAATTGAACAAACGATGCAATTTTCTGATTAAATTAGCGTGATTAATTTTGTCAAAGGCTTTCTCTAAGTCTACTGACAACAACACACAACAACCTCCCGCACCAACAGTCTTCCTTATATTGTCAGTCAATCCAACAAGAAGAGATGCAGTGCCGCGATTACTCCTAAATCCATACTGGCTCTCATGTAATAGAGAATTTTCACCAATATAAACTAGCATTTGATCTTTCATGACATACTCCACCATTTTAGAAAGAATCGGCATTATAGATATAGGCCTATACTCACTAGAATCACCATTCTTTTTTTGAATAGGCACTATTTTTGCAATTTTCCACATCTCTGGAAACACAGACATTGTTAACATAGAATTGACAACGTGCAACAAAAATTGACCAACAAGGGGAAAAACAAGCTTTAGAAATTTTAGCTGAAATCCATCATAACCAACTGCCGTGGACTTGATTTTATTGAAAGCATCAACAATCTCAGCATAATCAATTGCACGAAAGGAAAAACCATCAAAAGCATCAACAGGAATACAAGAATCATCAAAAACATCTACGGATTGATTCGAAACAAAAGCTGAATTCAGAGCTTCAACATCAACATTCCCGACTTCTCTGTCATCAGTACATAAACCGTTTTTATTTAAAATTGACCACACTTCCTTTGTGGATTTATTAGAAAACATATCCCTATGAGCAATAAATTTTAGTTTTCTTATAACTTTTTTGGCTCGGTTACGACAGCGACAAAACAATTTCCAATTTTCAACACTTTTGTCCCGAAGATAGGACCTATAAGAAATGTCACGAAGAGACAAGTGATACCGAATTTCAGCAGACTTAAACCAGTCATCTTTATTAATTTTACAAAATCTCCTTTTAACAGGAACTACACTGTACAAGTGCCGAAGACCACAGTTCAATATATCAAGCTGGGCATCAACATCTGCCACAGAATAAAGCTCACCAAAGTTGTATGTATCAAAGGCGCTGGAAAGCGCCACAGGATCAACAGAACTGAAATCTGCATATTCATAAAAACTCTGCACACAAAAACTGGGAACATTAATTGATAGAAAGATGAACGAGTGATCAGAAATACCAGGGCACAAAAACTGATTTGAACATGCTACCAAACTCAGACACGACACAAAAAAATAATCCAACAAAGAAGTAGAGGTATGCGCAATATCGACGTGTGTGGGCATTGAGTTGTGGACAACAGATAAATTTAATCTGCTACAAATTTCCCTTACAACTAAACTTCGCTGCAGATCAAACATATTGTTATTGAAATCTCCCATAATAATAACATTTGAGTACCTAACAACAAGATCAGAAATTTCATTTTCAAAAGCCACAATATCGCCATGTGGCAAATAAACCACACCAACAAGAAACACACAATTGCTTACAATTACCTCGCAGAAAACATATTCAACAACTCCATAAGAACTTCCTCTGCACACAAATTTATGTTTAATATTCTGAGAAACATACATTACAACACCACCTCCTCTATTACAAGGACGATCACTCCTATAACAAAAATAACCAAGTTTCTGTCACGCCAAAAATGCCAAGATTATTACCCTCTAAAATATTTCTCAATTCATGGATTTTAAAAGTATTCTTACTCAAATTATAACTTCTGAGATTTACATGACCTACATTAAGATTGTTTTTAAAATTGCATAACTGACTTCTAAGAAAACTATTATCGCTAACAATATAACCTAAACTAGTTGAAAAATTCATTATCTGATCGTATAATTCAGATGAGCGTAAGAAACAAAATTAAATCCAGGAAAAATAAAATTAATAAATAATAAATAAATAATTCAACTACTCACACAACCTTCACTTATGAACTACCATCAATATTATCTGCACTTAACCGTGAAACAGCAGATGAATCCAAACCGCATGAGGCAGCACTAGCAACATTAGCTACACCAGCAGAGCCATCATCACCATTATCATTCAACATATTAGTGCACTGATTTATATCAAGCTCACCCTCTCTTCCATCACGGAAGACAACCAACGCTTTAGGGTTATCCTCACTCTTCAGCTTGAACTTTTTGATTTTATTATTTCTCCACAACTTGCGACAGAGATACATTAATTTTGAAGCTGTACGATTATGATGGTCATTCAGGTACACTCTACTTCTTACAGCCACACCAGTGATATCACCAAGCAATAGAGGATTACGTCGCTTTTGGTAACTAGCCATTAAACTGTCTCTAACGAGAATGGAATTAAACTTAACCAGCACGGATTTACCCTTTGAGATATAGCAGCAATGGTTTATGTCGCCAGGGTGCAAATCAATACCGTATATAGCTGCGATTTTCATTATCGGGTCTCTCAATCTCTTGATCCCATCAGACAAACCACTGACAATTATGTTTGACCTATTGAGACGCCTAGTTAGTATATCGGCTTCAATTACAGACTCTTGCTTAGTCTGCTCGAAAATTTTAATTGCAGCCTGGCAACTCCGCACTGATTCCTCCATTAGTTGAAACCTACTGTCAACCTCTGAACGAATCGTCTTGACCACATCCTTAATTTTCAGCATAAAGCTTTCAAATTGCTTCTCCAAACATAGCTTATATAATTCAAATTCTTGCCTCAGCGTTTCATAAACATCTTCATTACCGCTTTGTGTATCAGTACCTGCATGACTAGAAGCAGTAGCATCAACGCTGTTATCAGTCTTCTTCTTAACACAGGTTGGGCATTTGAATAAAAACATCATTGTTTTTCTGTTCCTGTATAAGAAACTGTGTTGCTCTTTAGTCACATTAACGCAGTTAATATGAAAAAACATTCCACAGATACAACATCCAACACTATTTTGATTGTTCTTGACAACACTACTACAAGTTGGGCACGTATATGTTTTTGTTGTAGTTGGCATGGTTTCAGGATTGGATTCAGATAACGTTCCAGATATATTATCGAACACAGATGACAACCGCAACGACATCAGCTGCAACACAACAAGGGGGATCAGCTACAGCAACACAACAACAAAGCAATTGAAACGATAAGCCACTACAGCAGTCACCAACTACTCCACTTGTTTGTAAACAAATCTACACCAACGCAAAGAGTACACAGCTCAATTTATTCAATATCAATCAGTATAAATACAGCATTTGTTCCAGAAACACTCCGCGGCAATTTGATGTTGTATTCTTCTTCTTCTTCCAATCAGCTATTGTTTTATTTCATTTACAATTTGGTATTGTAAATCGCTCCTCCAACACACAATTGATGGTCGCAATAAAATCAATTTATTAACGCAAAAAACAACTTAATTTGCACTGCTATGCAAAAATTATTTATTAAATTTTATAATTTCCCGGGAGCAAAAATATTTACTGACACATCCTATAGGGCTCGCAAAATCGTTGTCCCAATATAGTCTTTTTGGTGAACCTACCGGTAGAAAAATGAGGCGGAACATTTAAAGGGGCTATGTCAAAATCTGGGTCAATATTTAAATTTTTCTACGAAGAAGATTTTTAACACATAAGGATTATAAATATTCTAAGAGAAGTTTTATCCTCTAAAATCCCCAAATGTCTATTATGAAGGTCTATGCAGTAAATTTATTTAGGGACTAAACTATACTAAAAGTTGTTCGAAGAAGGGTTTTAACCACCCAGAATAACAAATTTCTGAAACAAGATTGAAAATTAATGAAATGAAGGATCAATTCCAATGACAAACATTATCAAGGATTAACTATTTTACCAATTAAAAATCTCAAATAGATTTGATTAGGTCTACTTTATTTGTTGTTGTTTTCAATATGGACTTACATATCCAATACCTTGGCAAGTTAGAATAACATGATGTTCATTTACCTTCTCCTCGGTAAAACGAGCACCGCACATCTTCTCCGCCACATATATTGCAGTCTTTGTATGATTTGTCAATGGTTTCGTTAATATTCTAGATTGTCCTTTGGCCAATGCCATATAAATAATCAATTGGTCCTGGACATATTCATCCACACAAATTTCTCGTGATATAAGCTCCGCAAGTTCTCGTCCAGCCTTAGAGCCCAATTGATGAGCATCAACTTTTTTCTCACCCAACGAGGAAGAACCAATAACGCATCCAGTACTAGTGGTTGCTTTCAAAATGACACCCGATCCATTGTCACGCGCTACATCAGGAGATTCTTTATACGCTTCCAATTGACAAGGGGGGATATTTTTTAGTATACATAATTCCTTTTCAGCAGAGGTTTTCATGTTGTCAGCAAGATTGGGTGGTAGACGGCCAGCCACAAAACACCAACCCAGTGTTTCCTGGACTTGGCCAAAATTTGTTAAATCTATTGGATTGAGACATTTCACCGGTGGCACATACACCTTACAACGGCCACCGCCCCGTGGATAGTAGCCCCGCGTCATAAGATCAAAATCGAAAGATACACCAAACTGTTCCAGATTTGGCCGTAGCACCTCTGTTAAAAAATCAACTTGTGGAGCCATACCCACATTGGTGCCACCCACAAGTTCCAATTCGGACTTGCCATCAGCAAATGCAAGCACGGGTAGGGCACATTGTAAAACCAGCGATATACTGGCAGCTGTTTGAGTATTAACAAAATACTTTCCCGACCTGATTTTGCCGGGATTGAATTCGACTTGTATAGATTTCAGTTGGTTTCCATTCACCTGGGCATCGGTAATTTGCATCAAAAGATTTAGGCCGAACAAATGTTGATTCGAGAGGCCGGGATTTGGACGATTTGCCCTTATATTCACGATACGAACAGGACGTCGTAGAATGCAACTGAAGCTGAGGGCATTGCGCAGGATTTGGCCACCACCTTCCAGATATTTGCCATCGATTTCCAGAAATTCCACAGGCATTATGAAATTCGCTAATGGGAAACTGGATTTTGTCTTCGAGCACACACCTGGATGAATGTTCGATTGCAGAAATAAACCCATACATTCTAGAAACAGCTGATTTGCCGGCAACGATTTGTAAACACTAAGGTGATTTAGATTTTGTGGTTTATTTAACACATGAAAAAAGAATGGTATATTCCCGTACTTTTTGTAGTACAAAAATAATTTCAAAGTCAATATTGCTGTGTTCCAGACCATACAAGGATCTTCTATAAATCGATTTTTTATGTTGTGGCTCACGCTCTACGCAAAGTACCTTAGTCGCGGCGAGATTATTTGGCCGGTAAATCTTTTCAATTGTCAATTCCTTTGCATATATGTCAAGTAAATCCTCATAGGGAAGGTTAACCCCTGTAAAAAGTTCTAATGTGCATGTCGTTTTATTGAGGAAACAAAAGCTTCTGTCTTCCCTAGGAAGCATTCCAGCTGACATATGGGCTTGGGCAGTGCTTTGGAGGTACGTAGCGACGGAGTTCAAGGGATTCAATAGTGAATAATCCAAAGAGAATTTAGATATCCCGCTGTCGACTCCGGCTTCCAATAAGTGCTAAGTCCAAATAGACACCATCAATTTCTAGATCTGTAGATTGAGATCCTCGTTTACCTAATCCGCCTATTCATTCATTATCCATGATGTCACGGTGTCCAGCCGTAAGTTCTTCCAAAACTGTTCTACACTTGAGAACGGCCCCAGATTGGATGTAACAGGATTTGATGGAGTTAAGATCCGCTTGACTATCCACAACAATCTCTGCATCCAGACTTTTTATCAATTCCGCTGCCTTCCAGATCGCGAAGATTTCCGCTTGGAAAACAATACAGTTGCTATCCAGCTTGTAGACGCCAGCCCCGGTACCTTCATCCATCTTGGATCCGTCTGTATATAAATCCACAGTCGTTCCTGTTCCATCGTAATTTTCAGTCCAGGATTGTGCCATGGTACTTTGTTTCGTGTGATAGATGAAGCTGCAATCCATCCAGTGTTGTTGGAGCAAAGACGTCTAGTTTACGCTTCCTGGTGAACATTACCAGTTCCGCCTTTGTTGGGTTTACACCAAGGCCGTTCGCTTTGGCCCATGATGACAGCGTCAGTAAGACTCTGCATAAGCTCCCTAATTCGCGAACGATGGTGAAAAATGTTACCCACTGTAAAGAAGTAAAATACCTAAAAAACGAATCAGAGGCAGGAAAGATGATCACAGCGACTTCATCGGGAGCTAATCGATGTGAAATGAGATGTACGCTATTAACTATGCCAAAAGGCCACTAGAGAATAACTACATTGCGTACGGTGGCTACCCGATCAACGATTGTAGCAATGTGGTGCCTAATGGTATCCACTGACACAAGAAAGGAAAAGTGCTTGTAGCGACTGCAGTGAGGTAACCAAACAATTCCAAAGACAATGGGGACAAATAGGTTAGGTCAGCTACTATATTAAGGAGTTAAGGAGCTACTATATTGCGTACGTGGACTACCCTAGAAAAGGACTCCACCATAGTGGTTACTAAGAGTACCCACTGTAGTAGAAGACACACACAAAATCAGTGAGAAAGCCATGGTACAATTATAAAAGGTAACAGCAAATCCCAGCTGATTTGATTCCAACGTTATACTAGTGTCAATATGAATTTGACAAATTATGTTTTTAAAAATCACCCAACAGGAAAATTTGGAACGCATACAATTTAAAATTGTTCTTTATTAAATGTGCTCCTGTATTCAATTTACTCAATCTGCCTGCTGGGAAAGTTTGAGGAAGCAAATCTTTCTTCAAGGAATAACTCGCTATTCCGGGCATTTTCATATGTGTTACACATATATATGGCAATGGCTCAATTATAGGAAAGATGTGGAATAGATAGAAATATAAATTTGATAGATTTTCATTCATGTTTTTCAATTTTTATTTTGAGGATTTGAAAATATTTCATTTTTAAAATAAAAATAATTTGATGATAATTTGTTTGTTTATTTACATTTTTCTGTCAAATGAGCTGACACTAGTAGAACTTACAACAACAAATTTCCATGTGGTTGTTGTATCGTTTTTTGTACAACAACACTTGCTGTTACCTTCTATTATTATACCATGTGAGAAAGCATAAGTGTTGGCAGCAATCAAAGTGACTTCAGTGAGACTTATTCCAAAGGAAGCCAACCGCTCCTCAAAGTAGTTTGCAATGAATCAAGACCTATAAATAAGGTCGTCCAGGGAGAAAAGTTGGATATCAGCTGCCTCTCAAGTTTGCTGTCCAACTCCATTATTGTAAATTGACTTCTATTATGAAAACGTAAACAAAGGCCAAATTTTTGACATTAGACTTAAGAAAAAACAGCTGACTTTCGGTAGTTGGGTGACCTTATTAATTGATCTTTGCAATGAATAGATTGAGTTCGGCAGTGAAACAACAACATGAAGCAAGGAACTCGTCGTTTCAATTCAACCGTATGTATCGTTAACGACTAGGATATATAGTTTGAAGGCTACGACTGGAAAGATGAAAGTCGGAACAAGGCGTATGCCTTCGGAGGAACCTTCGAAGACACGCCAAAAAATCGAACGTTTCATGTTCCCAAGTGATCTCTTTAATTTAATTATAATTTTTAATAGTTTTCGCAGTAAGAAACCCTTGTTCAGAAACACAACTATTATTACTTGAATAGTCGTACCCGCAATCGTCGTATTAAAAACGGTTGAACGTCCCAAAGTACTTTTTTGTGTTGTCATGTACCATTACCTACTAAATTTTCCATCTCTGGCGGTTTGACAGCTCGTTAGCGGATTTGTTTACATTGCAATTGCAGAGTAGTTTTTGGCAAATTTTACATTCAATTTTTCTTAATTTTGTTCAGAGGAAATCATAAGAAAAGGGCGCAATGGAAAAATTAAATACAACATTAAATGCTGTCAAATCGCTACGTTCCAGTGTACGCCAGTGTTTTGAACAGCTGGCTGATGGCACCGCCGCCGAACAAACTGAAGATAGCCGGACAAAATTTCTATTGGAGTTTCAAGAGAATTATAGTCATATTAATCAACAATTAAGGTACGGAGGTGGCATACTATGGAATCACTTCAGTGGTTTTACTTGGATGCCGACGGAATTATGCATCCCAACCTTATTTGTGTGGTCATGGAAGATACATTGTTTTTTAATCTTCTTTTTTGTTTACAGAGAAGTGGAAACCTTAATAAATGGCTTGCAGACACCTTTGGGTCCCTACTATTTGGGTAATACAACATATTTGGCACAAGAGATTACCCAGGACCGCCAGGCTATGTATTCGCAGCTAGTTAGCAGCTATAAATGGATTGATAAAGTGCATGAGCACAGTTTGTTGGCCTTTAACAACTTAAATTTGAATAATTTGCGTAGATCGTACACATATTGCTCACAGAAGAGGGGAAGAGTACAATATACTTCGTGCAATAATCCCGATCCCGAGTAAGTATAAATGTACAATATTTTTATCAAACATTTTAAATGTAGGCGAACTCTTTATCGGGATGTAGGTAAATTTTTCACCTAGACATTTATTTATCAGAAGTCTAAGTTTAGGGGTTTTATAACACCCAACAATTATATTGACCAAAATAAAATTATATGTCAATATAGTCCCGATAGATAGATTGAGTTGGAGAGTATGCACAAACATTGCAACCTTCGGAATTTTAATGGTATGTACTTGGATCTTTTTCCAACCGCCATATTTAGTTCTAATGAGCCGAAAAGAATAGTAGTGTTATTTTTAATATTCACCAAAAAATGGCCACAGCGTTGTGTATTTGAAGTCGTCAAACACATCTCAACAATGCGAAATATTTTCCCATTTGTCGGCATGGATTCTGTAATATACATATTCAACAGTTTTTGTGGTACCTGGCCTATAGACAATATCAAGCTGTCCTAGATATTTCTCCGGGACTGTCTATAGAGACTCATATGTCGTTATAAAAACCAAGTGGTTTGTGTAGACTCACAGAACTTTATAACAGACCGATGGGTCTCTATAGCGCCACAGGTCTTTATAAAAGAGCGATTGGTCTGTATAACATACCAATTGGATCGTATAGAGACCCGTGCCATATCCTTGAAAAATGTTCTTTGAAAAAACCCACGACTTTTTTTAAAAACTGAAAAAGGCCAAACCTTGTGTTGGTCATTTAAAAAATATTCTTATACAAATCCTTGCTTAAAATAGTGCTTGGAAAAATATTCTTAAAGAATCCACGCCGTAACTGGTCCTTGAAAAAGTATCCTTAAACAAATCCACGCCTTAAATAGTCGTTGAAAAAATATTCTTTAAAAAATCCTCGTCTTCCTTAAATGGTCGTTGAAAAATATATTCTTTAAAAAATCCTCGTCTTCCTTAAATGGTCCTTGAAAAAATATTCTTTAAAAAATCTACGCCTCAATGGGCATTGAAAAAATATTCTTTAAAAAATCCACACCTTAAATGGTCCTTGAAAAAATATTCTTTTGAAAAATCCACGCCTTAAATTTAAAGGTCCTTAAAGGCCCATGAAAAAATCTTGTTTGAAATTGTTTATTCTCTCTTTCAGATTCATCGATAATCTCTTTTATAATGATATTTCCCATACGAATACAATTTATAAAGTTTGCCGACCCTTCAGTTCCAATGCTGTGGTGATTGTAAGTTCCATAAGCCATGTTCAGATTTAAATAATTATTGAAACTTATTGAATTTTTGTTTTCAATTTAGGCAACCATAAGTCATGTCTTGAAGGCGGCAATAATTTGCAAAGGTGTTCTCATTGAATGGGTGACCGTCAAGGGGTACGATGAACCCATGGAAATCGATGATCTATGGACCGAGTCACGCTATGAAGTCTTTCGCAAAGTTCAAGAGCATACCCACTCGGCAATGTTGCACTTCTTTTCGCCCACACAACCGGAATTGGCTGTCAAGAGTTATATGGTGAGGCAATCACATCCACCCAAATCACTTTTTGAGCCTCTAATATATTTGTTTTTTTTTCTCTTGCAGACTTGGTTAAATAGTTATAGTAAATTATTTTTGGAGCCCTGTAAAAGATGTGCGAAATATGTTTCAAATGGTTTACCGCCCACCTGGCGGGATTTGCGTACGTTGGAACCCTTCCATGAGGAATGTAAAAATTGCTAAAATAAAAATTCCCTTGGAAGAGTAACCCACCCTTTTTTGAAGAAACTTCATCATGATTAGTTATAGTTTGTATACCATTAAAGTAATAATAAATAAAAATGCTTAAGTATTTTTTTTTTTTAAATAATATTTCTTCTTTTTTATAAGTATATATTTTTTTAAAACAAAAAAGAAAACAATTCATAATTTCTATGATTTCTTTTATGCAAAAAAAACAAACAAAAGAATATTTTTCATCATTTTCATTCTGTTATAATAACTTTTCTGTTTCTCATCAAAACATGTTTTGCGTTTTTTTATGCTATTTTCTATTTCCTTCTTCGGCACGAAATGTAAGAATGTGGGGGAGGGGGTCTCTTCGTTTGCATTATGTTGCAATTAAATATGTTTGTATTTATAATTAATGTTCATTAATGTTGCAAAGGAGAGTTGGAGGGGGTGGTTTGTAGATTGATTCGGAAAGGCATAGGAGGAGAATACACAGTTTGATAAATTATAATCTGATTTTATCTCTCTCTCTCATCGATGTATAATTTCAATAATTTTTAAACTGGTTCTGAACAGAAAATATTGATGATGCACGCGCGCACAGCTGAGTACAGCCTACAGGTCCAGTTTCGGTATTCGGTTTTTGCTCCATATCAAGAACTCTCAATGATGATGTTGACATTATTTTGTTTGTTTGTTTTACAACTTATTATTAGACATAGAAAATGGGGAGGCGGTCATCGAACGTCCCTGTTGCATGCACAAACGTGCAAAATTTTCACGCAATGTCTCGCGCAATTGCAAACGCTGTTGTTGAACCTTTTCACGTTGGCACTGATACTCTAAGACCACTTCATGGGGAATGTAACAGTTCTCTTCAGCTTCATCGTCGCCATCGAAGTCGTCCTAAAAAAAAGTAAAAGGAAAGAAATCGGAAAAAAGGTGTGAGACATTGTCTGTGGACATAATTGAGGCATAACGGAGATTTTATAAAATTCAAAAAAGATCTGAAAATCACAATTTGTTTGTAGATAGAGGCCCACAGGACTATCATGAATACCAATTGGTTTGTATAGAGACCCACAGGTCTTTATAAAGACCAATTGGTCTGTATAGAGACCACAATTCTTTATAGATACCACAGGGCTTTATAGAGACCACAGGTCCTTATAGAGACCATAGGTCAATCATAAACTCAAACAACAAAATCAAATAACTTCTTTCGAATAAAGCTTACCAACATTTGTTGCAGACTCAACGTATTGAAATGATCCTCTGGAAAGAATTTACAGGAATCCGAACCAAAGCTATAATCAAACGATTTATGATGATAATTATCATCGTCGTGACAGTGATCACGATTTTTGTAATGTATATCGTGGCTATCAGCAGCAATCGACGACAAATGACATTTGTGTGGGTCATCTACCACATTTTTGTTGCTACGTTCATGTTCATGATTACAAAAACCATCCGAACATGATACCTCAGAACCTTCCGATGTATCTTCGGGCGATGAGACAACACTTGAGGTACGTGAATTGCCATGCGACAAGGGTTCACTGCCATAGCCAGAATCTTTAATATCACTTTCGCAAGGACATTCCGATGTTGGTGCATGGCAATCGTTGCACTTAACTGTAGTTGTTGTTAGTGTGGCATTAGTAGACGATGTGTTGGTAATACGATCAGAGGAGGTGTTGTTGTTTTTAACAGCAAACACCGGCTGCTGTTGATTACCACCATCACCACCACCATTCGAAGAAATACCCAATAAATCGGATTTTTGAGATTTCTCCTTTTTCTTGTTACTATTAGCGCCGCTACTATTGTTGTTGTTGTTATTGGTGGGGGAATTTTTCTTTTGCGGTGTTTTAACTTTTTGTTTTTGCTTTTGTTTCTTCTTCTTTTGCTGCTGCTGCTGCGACTGAGTATTTGGCTGAACTGAGTTTTGGATTGTTGTTGTTGCTGAATGCGCTTTATGATGATGTCCACTAACATCATCCGCATCGTCGTCGTCGTGATTTTCTTCCAGATTATCACACTCCACACCTGCATCCTCTTCCAACTCTTTCGATTTCTGACCAGCAGCTAACACATGGTTTCGTTTCTTCCCCGTCTCCGCATCGTCATCTTCCTCCTCATCGTCGTCACCTTCATCGATGCCCAAGGCTTCATCTTCGTTGGCCGATGTTAAAGAACCTCCCGTCTTGGAGCCGCGATGTTCATGCAAGTCTTCATCCTCACTGCCATGATGATGATGCTCCTCTCCGTCTTCCTCTTCTTCGCCACCATTGACTTCTTTACGTTCGCAGACACGGGAATTTTTCTTTTCATTCTTCTTCTTCTTCTTTTTCAATTTCTTCTGCTCCCGCTTATGTTCCTTGGCCTTTTCGGCCCGACTTATCTCCTGGTAGAGCAATTCTAAATTGCTAATACCCTGTTTCTTTTCCACGGACATATCGAAACTTTGACACAGGGCGTGAACACCAACCGCCGCTAAAACTTGACAGGCACGTTCCTCTTCGCGTAAACTGACGTAGACACGTCGCAAGCGTTCGTACATAATCATACCGACACAGGTGAGCACCTCTTCCTGGGCAATTTCTAATGTTTTCGCATGACGCTCTCTCAATTTAGAGTAGCTGAAAAATAAGGTAGAATATGGAGATTAAATTAATTTGGTTTATTAGTAGATCGGATTTATAGACGATTAAGTGTTTGTTTTTATGGATGACTAAAGACAGTGGGTGTTTATAGGTCTCTTTAGAAAAAAGAGACCCCATCAAACACTTGAGTGTCTGTAGACAGTTCTATTGTAAATCGTTCTATATATAAATTGTCGGTGTTCTCTATACTGACAAATTTGTCGGTAAAAGGGGCTGAAGATCTCTACACTGACCAATTTGTCTTTCAAAATGTATAGAAGACTTTTTAGATATATATTTTGTATAGACAGACATAGGCGGAGCAGAGGTAAATGCTAACGGCCTCCTGCACATGTTGGGGATAAAGGAAAACACAATAATATTCATTGGGTATAAATAAACAGAATATAAATAAACAGTCGCGGACAATCAGCAGGTCCTGGAGGAGTTTTGGAGGAAATGGCCAATTGCCTATGATCCCAGGACTGAGGATGCGAGAATGACACCTCCAAATACACAATTGGAGGTCTTAGGTCACTTTCATTTCTATGTGGCCTTCCTAATGCTGGGGTGTTGGTCGACCGCAGTGTTTACGGTTTGCAGTCATGGTCCCGACTGTATTCGAACAGATTATTGTTGATACCTGTACGCCTCAGCAGATTCTTCCGGCTTTGCTGCCGAGTCATTACCATGTGGTAAGAGGCTATGTCATTCCAAAGAGATTTCTGAGAAGAAGATATACTCGCAGAGATATTAATTTCTGCAACCGATTTATCGGACGGGACAGGGACTCAATCAGTGATAAAGAATTCCTTCGTCACGTGTGAAGTCAATTTCTGATCTCTCAGCCCCCTTCAAGGGACCTCTTGAGTGTTCAGAAATCCCGGACATCATCCTCCACTGCGAAGGAAGGAAGGCTGATCGAACACAACCTCCCTCTAAGCAAAATAACTAAACCTGCTAAGCCGCCTGCTGCTAAATTTCCAAAAGCCAAGCCTAAAGTGACGAATACGAGGTAAGTGCTTGCGACAGCTGCATCAACCTCTGCGACAGCTGAAACTTTGGGGGAATCATATCGAACACAACTAATAGCTGTGAAGAGATTAAGGTACTTGGATGAGCAAAAACCTCTTGCCAAAAGACCCACGCAGTCGCTAGATGCACTGAAAACTGTTTCGTTTGCGTGGAGGACTTCTTTTGTAGCCGATAGGATTTTGAAAGATATGTCTTCTACATATCCGTTCAATATGTCTCTAATGACGACTAATGTGGCTTCTCTATGGACGATTATTACATAGTTTTATGCACAACTAATAAGTCGTTCTTGTGGGGGATTATTAGGTCTTAATTTATGCCAAAGGAATGTCCATATTATGTATCCTCTTTAAATACGACTTATGTACGTTTTAATAGAACATTATTTTCAATCTTCTCGTCTAATCTGTTGTTGAATCTCTTTAATTGAACTCACCTTCCGTTGACTTCGGGTTCGGCGCGCCTTATAAGAGCGTCGAGAAAGTCGATTTTATTCGTGAAAACATGTATATGCTTGTCGGGGTGACACTTTTTGATATTCGCATAAAGTGCGGCGACATAGCCTTTCTCTTTCGTTGTCGTCTCACCCACTAAGATTTTATAGGCCTTTTCGATCTGTAGATTAAAAAAATTACAAATTATGAGTTATCTATTTCACGTATAAATTCAATAACATTACCTTCGTACGACAGCCATTACAGAATTTATGTTTCTTGAGATAATTCTCCAACACTTCATGCAGTTCTTTTGTCTCAATCACGGCCAACTCATCACGACAATTGTGTTTCATCGAGGACCAGACTTCACGCCACGTTTCCGAAAATGGTTTCGAACGGAATGCATCCAACGAGTGCAGCACACATCGGGTTTTATTCCTTAATTTACTTTCCAGCAGGTTATTTAGAATTTCATGATGACGATAGAGGAGTGTACCCAGCGCCTGTGGTGTTTTCATTTTCTCTTCGGCTATACTAAGGACACAGGAATTTTTCAGTACCAGGGGATCCAGCGTGGGATGGCCGGACATTGATAGTTGATAGAAGAGGCGTTCGACAAGGCGTCGACAACCGACACACTGTACGCATTGATTTAGAACGGATACGAAGGTTTTGCTGCTAATCTCCAATGATGTATGTAATTCATCCGTGGTTAGTAAATTAAATTTGCGGGTAAACTCTTCGAGTTCTTTGCCACGAATGTGTGGACTATCGATGCACAAGCCTTTGCTATTTAAATCCATTAACATCTGTAAAGGCAAAAATAAAGGGGATCATTTAATAAAAAAGTATTGGAAATTTTGAATTTTGTTTTTAGAGATTCCTCAGAAAAAAATCTAGTTTTCTTTTAAATTAAATCAAAAGAAACTTAACAACAACTAATGTTACCTTCAAGATAAGATATAAGACCTTAATAACCATAACCAGAGATATTCTCAAAATGTTTATTACACTGTTTTTTGCTTTATGACAAAAAACACGTGCATGTATGTATGTGTGCGTGTAAAAATCATACACACATTCTCTCTATAGTCGGCAAATTCACATTTTATTAAAATGCATTTTAATAACACAAAAAAAAAGCAGGGAGAAAGACGACCCAAAGTTGGATATTTTATCCGCATAAAAATATCAAAAATATATAGCTACAAATAAACTTCGGATCAAATCTTTTGTGTCGTAATTATAAATTGAACCCCTCACATCGGAAGAGAGTAAAAAGCAGGAGAGCAACAAACAGGCAGTTGTTTGAAGTACAATGAAAAAGGTTTTTGTTTTTTGTTTAACTGTAAGTGATGATGACACAAATTATTCGGGGGTTATGGGGTAGGGTGCGGTTCTAATATATGTCGTATATTTGTTTTGTTTTCTTGTTAGGCTGAAGTTCATTCAACACATAAATGCAATATTAAATATTGTTCTTCTTTGAGTAAAAACAAAATCAAATAATATTCACAATGCAACAGTTCAAAAGAATTTTTCTTAAATATGGTCCAAAGACCTATACATATAAAGGGCGCTGCATATACATTTTTTTACGAATCTTTCTAAAAAATCACTTAGAAATTGGCCTTTATTGAAGATTGATATTTTCTCTTTTTTTTTCAAACAAATTAGACAAATTCTTAAAAAGGTTTGATAATGATGTAAATTCCTCTTTTAATCGAGCTAAGCTCCGACTGAAAGTCTTTTACAAAGTTATAATAGTCGGCCGAGAATTTTCGGCAATATGCCCGCTACTTCATTAGCGAATGTGGGTAATATTTAAACATATATTAGCATATTATTTTATTTTCACAGAAAACTGCATATATCTGAAAAACTAAATAATCCAAACCTTAATATAGACCATAAATTGAATTTGAGTACCATTTAGTACCAAATTTCATGATTCGAGCTCTAAAGTGATCCCTAATCCAAGTTTCAGGATTTCAACTCTATTGGTTCACCCACAATTCAAATTGCACCAAATTTAGTACAAAGTAGCACGAATTTCTATCGGTTCCTACCAACCACACTGATCCTAAATCCAAGTTTCAGGATTCCAACTCTTTCGGTTCATCCACAATTCAAATTGTACCAAATTTGGTACAGAGTAATACGAATATCTAAAACCTCTTCCTTACCACAAACCTACACCACCATAGTGATCCTAAATCTAAGTTTCAGGATTCCAACTCTATCGGTTCACCCACAATTCAAATTGTTCTAAATTTAGTACATACTATCCTAACTCCGAATTTGATGATTCTGGTTATATTGTTTCACCTAAAATTCAAATTGTACCAAATTTCAAAATCATCTCCTTAAATAAACTCTACATCCCAACCCTTATTCGCATTCTAAATTTCAAATTTTTAGCTCTATTCATTCACATGCTACGAAATTGTACCAAATTTAGTACATTTTAGTTGTGTCCATAAGGCTATAACACCCAAGCAAGTACATAAGGAGACACCCTGTTGCAGTTCTCTGGGCAGCTTTCAGACAGGTCTGGATATTCCTCCACTGCGCCTCACATTCATTCGCAAACCACACTGGTGCCGCATAGCTTACCACTGATCGAACTATTGCCTTATAAGAGGACAATAAGGTTTCTTTGTCAGTGCCCCAAATGCTGCCGGCTAGAGTATTGAGGAACTTGTTGCTACTTTTCAGCCTTTTGCGTAAAGCAGTAGCTTGCGCAGACGACTTGAAAAGGTATCTTGATGTAGTTTGTGGTCAAAATCAGCTTTCCATCGCCGACCATTTGGTGAACAGCGGATATTTTTTGAGAGTTATTCTTCAGATGGAAGATATTAACAATACAAATGTAATTAATAACGGGACCCGACGCCATGATCGTGCAATCATGTTGATGTACGATTATGGCTGATGTTGGACAACTGGAAAATTGCTCAACGATGGGAGGAGTAGCGCTTCAAGTGTCTTTGCTACTGGCGACAGGAGTGAAGTCGACCTGTACCATTCACCACTGCTGGCATCCTTGCCAGGCTTTAGCAGCGGGACCAAACTGCCCATTTTCAAGACTTCAGGAACTATTTGGGTAATTAACGACAATTTGAGAGCCGATGATAAATTATCAACTCCGGGTTCATCCAGCTGATTAAGCATTACCATGGTTATTCCGTTAGGGTTCAACGCTTTGGAGGATACAGCGTTTTTAATTACATCTACACCCACCTTCGCCCTCTTCGGCACGGAGTGCCCTTATGTGACGTTGTACACTGCTGCATTGTTTCACGTCGTCTAGCCACTTTTTCCTTTTGTGGTTGCCAGGTTACGTTATTTATCAGATCCACTGTCATAATGGTGATGTCTAGCGAACTGTGGCAATATGGACAGAGTGGAGTCACAAGAACTTCATATGGTTCTTGTTAGAATTATTTTTTTTTTTTTCAAAAAATAGAATTTTTTTCAAATTTTGTCTAAATCCAGCAAACTTAGATAAGTATATGTCCAGGGGACCATTTGACTTTTGGAAGCCCATTGTATTATTGTAGTTAGGACTTCAATTGCTTTAAATTGATACCCATTAAAAATGCCTTAGGGAATTTTAAAAAAAGCATATGAGAATACAAGGTCACCGCGGAACTTTAGAGGCTCATACATCAGGTAATATGGATTTCCACTGTAATTAGGTTCCTAGAACTATTGATGGTAAAAATATCAAGTAGATCCTCGACTGGGACCTAGCGTGCGTAGGAAAATTATTTTTTTGGAAAATCGCCAATTTTTGACCAAAAAATAAGCAGGAAAATTTGAAAGATCTTCAATAATTGGCTGAGTGACCGACCACCCGGAATAGTATTTCTTCCTAATATTTACAAAGATCTAAATATACAATCAAATTTGTATGTCTGAATACAACATACCCTCTTTTCCACACAATAGCAATGCATGAAACTCCATGCGACAACTTATCATCTGATATTAACAAAATTCAATTTTCCCAACTCTGATTTGTGCTATGCGTTTTTTATAAAATAGCGCAGTAGTACAACAACAACTACACTCTACGAAATTGAAATTGTATGTTGAACCTGTTTTGTGCACAGCAGCTTCTTCTTCTCCGATATGCGGTTGGTCACAGTCACAATGAAAAATTCGAAACAACAACACACCAGCAACAATAATAATAAGCCACACTAATAATAAAAAATAACAACAAAAGATTAAAGCCCATAAATTTAACTATCAAAGAAAGTTTTTTTACAATTTAGTTTTTTTTAAGAAAATGAAAAGTGAGCTTCTTAATAAAAAAACAAATCTTTGTTGGGGCATTTTGTTTACCACCACCAACGAGGAGGAGGAAGTGTATGGGGTTTGGTGGGCGTAGCTCAGTAATGCTATTGATCTTGGGGAAAATACCATTAGTTGGCAAGCAAGGGAACAAAAATTTTTGTTTTCAAAATATTTTCAATACAAATCCAAATTCATAATAGTTTGTATTAATCACCATCGAATATTTTACATTGAGCTGGGGACAAGTTTTTGTTGTGTCTTTGCCTTTTGGTCTACAGAAACAAAAACAAACCGAAAACAACAACAACAGTGTTGCGTATAGTGAGCAGCTCGACGTCATACCAAAACCGTAGACAAAATACGACAAACTCTCGCATGATAAGTGATAAACAATTTTAAAATTCAAGGTTTTCCCAGTCCAAAACAAATAAATTAAAGAAGGCAATAATAATAATACGACTACTACTAATAATCGGCGAAGTAAACGACATCACTTTAACATACATTTGTACACATGAGAATGTATGTTTATGCGGCGAACAAGACAGTGCAAGAAGATACATCCATCCATCGCACCAAAAAATATACTCTAACAAGTTTAATCAGCGTCAGTCAGTCAGTCAGCTGCACCTTAAACTGGGTGGGGAGGGAGGTGGTATGTGGATGTAGGCAGGGTGGTGGTGCGGCGGATGCAAATCGTGTTATGATTATTATAATGGTGGTAGTGACTGGTGTGTGGTGGTAACAATGAAAGACGGCAACTCGCACAGAAAATAAAACCGACCAACTGACTGATGGACGGTCGGACCAACCAAAAACAATAATAATTTTCCCCAGAAACGTTGTTACATTTCTTCATCACGATGAAACAGAAAAACTAACTACTGTCACTACTACTAACTACTACGCTGATTACGAAGAATATGTATGCTCGCTCCTCTTCTTCTTCACGTCTTGCTACTGCTGATGAACCCAACAAAAAAAAACTTGGGAATTGGTCTTCCACTTGACTAGAAAAACTGTGTTAATCATCATCCTCACCAGGTTGGGGTGGAAGATGATGTTACTCCTTTTTCTGCTGCTTCTTCTTACCATTAAATTATCATCACCAGCACTGACGGGCAATTGTCTCCGGCCGACGTTCACATAACTCATGTCCTCCATTCTATAGACGTAGGTTAGACGCGCCATGTTTTATTAATAAATTAAAAAATAAAACACAGAAACAGCAGAATTCACTCGCTTATCGTTTTCTTTTCTTTTTTTGTATTTCTCTTCTCGTATTTTCGTCTTCTTCTCATCCACCACGTATGCCACTTATTTCTGGTTATTGTATCAATAAACCAGCCACAATCCGTAGATAATTATAATATTTACAAAAAAATTACTCCTTAAAGGGGCTTTTTTATGCAAAAAACTAAATAAATGTGTTTTCTTTCTTCGGTCTTTCTTATTTTCCACTTCAGCACTACTAATAAAAAAAGAAGAACCGATGTGAAATTTGACAAACTTGACTCGTCGTCTCGTTCAGCAATTTTTTCCTTCTTTGATCACAACGAAATGAAGGCGGAGAAGGTTGCCATATGTTGTAGTTGATTGTGCAACTCTGTTGATGGTTTAATAATTCGTATTTTGGAAAAACAAAGTTTAGGAGTCGTAGTTAATTAATAGGAGGATACTAATTTATTGTAATTTAATTAATTTGTGATAATTTGAAATGATTATATTATGAAATTAATTGTTAATCACTATCAAAACAAAAAACATATGAGCACTTTTTTGATGGAATTACATGGCATCACTATGCGTTCAGTGTTGTATATTGAGGGCAAAAGCATATGGGTGGTAGGTAATGTATCAACTCTGTACAGCCGACCAGAGTTGATATTTGGTCTCACCCAATTTGGGGTGTTCATATGTTGGCATGTGTTAAACAACATATAGGAAGAAGCAATGGTTATTAAAGGTCCAGACTGATGCCTGCGAAGTTTTGTTAAAATCGGTTCAGATTTAGATATAGCTTCCATATATAGTCCGATTTTTTGTAAATGGTACACCAAAGTCCTTATATATCTTTCTATTTGCACGAAATTTGGCGCAGCGCACTTAATTAAGTCTAGAATGATGTGTGTTAAGTTTCGTGAAAATCGGTTCAGATTAAGATATAGCTCGCATTTATATTGTCGTCCGATTTTATGTAAATGGTGCACCAAAGTTCATATATATCTTTCGATTTGCACGAAATTTAGCATAGCGTACTGGGCCTAGAATGATGTGTTAAGTTTCGTGAAAATCGGTTCATCGCACTTAATTGAGTCTAGAATGATGTGTGCTAAATTTTGTGATATTCGGTCCAGATTAAGATACAGGTCCCATATATATTGTGTCCGATTTTATGTATATGGTGTACCAAAGTCCGTAAATATCTTGCGATTTGAACGAAATTTGGCACAGCGCACTTAATTGAGTCTATCTCCCATATATATATATATATATATATATTCGCCCGTTTTAATGTAAATGGTGCACCAAAGCCCCTATAAATTTTCCGATTGGCACGAAATTTGGCAAAACGTACTGAACTAAGTCTAGAATGGTGTGTGTTAAGTTTTGGAAAATCTAAAGATAAATTGTCTGTTCTATCTACAGGATACTGTATGTATTAGCGCCTCTTGTATGTACCAATAGTGGTGAAGGGTTTCATATAATCGGCTCCGTCCGACTTTTGAACTTTCCTTACTGGTTTTAATTTTGAAAAATATTTGACTTGCTTACTTATCTGGCTTATAACAGAACGGTTGTGTAATGTGGCTGGCAAGTATGACCTCTATTCATTACCAAGGTGTTGATGGTATTTTGCTAAGATGGCTCCGGCTAAAACTCTAGCGGCGAGGAGGTACACTTGAGCACATACAAAAATAACATTATATCATTTTACAAGAAAACCATTAAAACATGTTGTTGTATTGTTTTTGATTGTTGTTGTTGCTGGTACCCCTAGGTGGAGTTTGGGTACCCTTTGCCCTCCCTATGGGTTCCTACCTTGAACCCCCTTAATGGGCCTCTGAATCATGAGGACCCCAATTACTTATATTACGGCTGCCCAATTACCTTTACATTACCTTTCTTTATTCACCAATTAATTCATAGTTCAAACCTTTCATTTAAATTCATAATTCGATAACATTTTTATTGTTTATTCAAAGGTTATACCATATAAGCTTAAAGTAGTTACATCTAATAACAATTGGATTCAATGATATTCAAGATTAAGTTTTTCTTAAACCTTAGGATGATGTAATATAAATGAACGATTTACAAATATGCTTCAGGAAACTAAAGAAATATACCAGGACTGAATTTAGAACATACTCTCAGGTGATTTCCCCAGATATTTGGGTTAAAATGGTTTAAAATTCAGAATGAAATAAATTTCCTTTACCTATCGAGCTCGATGTGATGTAGGAGTTCGTCGCTACGACCGTATTCATAAAAAAAATATATATATATATCAGAATATGGTTAATTTTGAAATGGGGAGATCGCCGAGGCGTAGTTAACAATGATTATATAAAAAAAATGAAATAAAACTGTAAAATATTGCATGTATAAACGAATAATGTATAATAATGTATGTATAATAACGTCTATATAAATTATGATTAATTAATAGTAAAGGTAGGAGGACACTGCTGACAATCAGAATTCAGGACATCTTTCTAGTATCCGGTCTACAATAAATTCGATTCCTGTTAGGTCTTCTACGGATTTACTTACAATTGCAATGGATCCAACAACAGAAGGCTGCGCGGCTGAGGGTGGTATGTTGAGGAGACGAAATGTGGGCTAACGGTAGTTGAATTAATAACGGCAGTTGATGTGGGTTGAATTTCAGGCTATTGATGATGATGTATGAATTTGTCTATGTAATGCTGTGTATGTACTGGGCTATGGGATAACTGAGGTACGGCTGGTTTATTTGATGGTGGTGCAAAATTTCTTTGATGGAAGGTTGATGTGTGAACTGTTTTGCGAAATGTTTAGGTCTGAACCGGGATTATTATATTTTGATTGCACTAGCTTGTCTATGGGATGTTGGTGTGTACTGGTATATGAGATTGTTCGGTATGAATTGGGTTATTTGATTTTGATGGCACTGGGTTTTTTGTAAAAAGTTGGTGGGCTGATGAATTTTGAGTTGGTTAAGTCTGAACTGGGTTAATGAATTTTGGCGGCACTATTTTTGTCTATTGAATGTTTGTGGGTTTACTGATACCCGAACAAAACTTGTTGTATAGTAAAAAAACTCACTGTACCGTTACCCAACTGCGCGTGCACCATCACGTGTAATTCACTGGTACAGTCCCAGCGCCTCGGTGGCGGCTTTTCACTGTTGTTGGGTTTGCACAAATTAACCCAACCAGTTAAGAAAAATATTGAACAATTTCAATATTAATTCACGAAAACACACACTTTTTTATTTTTAGAGTGCATCCATTTGAATGTATATTCTTCACTCTTTATTAGTGTTTTTTTTTTTATTATTTTCACACAACACTCTAACACCGGTAAAATTTCTTTATTTTTCTTTCTGTTTCTCCTTTCCTCTTTTCGTTTACGTATTCAGTCTTAACTCGCCGGCCGCTACTCTCGAGAATGAAGCGATAGTAATTTCCAGGCCGGTTAGGGATCGCTAATTTGCAAAAATGCATCAACCAATCAAATCCTGACACGTCAGCAGCACATATGATCACCGTGCAGTATTGCACATGCAATGGTGATTCGTGTAATATGACGTAGGCAACAGGGTGACATAACAAACCCGAAGAGTTACCGGAGACCTGTCGAAGGAGAACTAATTCGGGAAGTCGACCTATAATCCTTGGAGTGGGGAAGAACTGCGACCCTGAGAATAAGAGTCTCATGTTCTACCGACTGAGCTAGCCGGGCGTCTACTTCGAGGGTACCATATGTTGGAGGTCTTTTGCGTGGTAGATTCCTATTCTCCTACCCTGTAAATCCTCAATTTCGTAAAGGGAATTACCTAATTTCTGAACAACACGGCACTTAACGAATTTCCGGCAAAGTTTAGCATTGAAATGGCGGGAAGCGTCACTTTGCACGAAGTTTCTTCTTAGAATTTCTTGACCGGGTTTAAACGTGACGTCGCGAGATCTTCTATTATACCGAGCCGCTGACTTCTCGTATGATTCATGTAGTTTTTTCTTTATCGCGCTTCGAACTAATTCCAATACATTGTTTTTCGGTACGACTTCAATCGATCCGTCTTCTAAAGCGCCAAGTTTATCTACTATATCGTAATAGCTGGCGTGCGTGACCATATGTGAGCCAAATAATGAAAAATACGGTGAATATCCGGTAGAAGTGTGTATTGTAGACCGAAGTGAACATTCTATAGCCGACAGAAAACGATCCCAATCCTTTTGATCTTCTGATACATAAGCGCGTATTGCCGAGATAATAGTTCTGTTCACACGTTCCGATGCATTCGCCTGTGGCGAATACACGGCATTTCTCATAGGTTTGCATCCGTATTTCTCTAAGAAATCTGTGAACTCGGTAGAAGTGAATTGCTTTCCGTTGTCGGAATGGACTGTTTGGGGAACCCCAAACTTATGAAAGACTTCACTTTCTAAAAACTTTATTACGCTTCTAGTATTCGCTTTCGGCAAAGGCTTTAACAAAACGAATTTTGTTAAGTGATCTAGCACAATGAAAACAAAACTGTTACCGGATTTCGATCTCGGAAAAGGTCCTATGAAGTCTATAAAGATCTTCTGCCATGGTCTGCAAGTTACGGTTTCAAACCCCATTTTTGGTCTCAGAGCTTTGTTTGGAGCTTTCGTCTCCTTACACAAAACACAAGCATTGATAAATTCTTGAATTTGCCTTGCCATTTTTGGCCAATAAAAATATTGCCTGAGCGCCGCGATAGTCTTACCAATACCGCAATGGCTTTTCACAGTAGAAGTATGCGCATTTTCAATAAGTGCATTCGTCAAACCTGAAGGAATCCATAATTTCCATATGAAGTTTTCATGAATTGGATTGCCATCGGATGGAAGAGTTTTCTTGTACACAAATGAATCGCAGATCTTCAAATCTGGAAGACTGTCTTGATTTTCCTTGACCATCGCAATCAATTTCAAATATTCGTCGCTCTTGAATTCAGGAGAATTTAAATCGATTACGGG